GTAACACAAGTTACTAGCCTGTGACTTTCACAGTCAGCTCCCTGTTGATGAACACTGTTATTGGCAAAAGTTAATCAGCAAAACTTGTGGTCGGGGCACCACTTTGTTTGGTGCCCCCAAAAAAGATCTGGAATATACTGTAAATATTGCACTTAAAAGATATAGAAGAAAGTGACAGTGCTTGTCCAGCCCAATCATTATGATACCTAAGCCTGATGATTGTTTTGCAAAAATATGTGTCGTTTAAATGAGTCGACCAAATTCAACACCTAACAGTTGATCAGGGTGTATGAGCTTATCGAAGGACTCAGTTGAGTCAAATACCTTGAAACCTTGGATTTGACACGGTTTCTAAATACATGCAAGCATATTTCACTAGCAACAATTGACAAAGGAAAAACCCAAATAACATCCTGTCCTCTGAGCTTCATGGAGCTTAGGCTTCATTTCAGTGTCTGATAAACAGGATGCTTCAGCCCCATCTTGGCTGTGCTTCCATTTCATGGATGACGTGATCATTTTTGACACAGATTGAAAAACTGAATGCTGTTAACAGTATAAGGGAAGGAGGGTTGACCATCAATTCCATCAAGAATACAGTTGGACTTACCAGAACAAAGTATATATAAGTATATATAGGGCATAGGAGTGTCTCCAAGCAGACACTGCTAAAAATAGCTTTTACTCAAAAACAAACTTCTTGGAATTTAGTGAGTTAATGTGCTATTCCTTATTTCTAAAAGGACACAAAAGGCAAAAGCTAAAATTCTCACTTTGATCCTACAGTAAAGTATTGCCATCGTTACATTTCTGTTATCTTTAAACGTTTCTGTAATATCATCTGAAATAGACTGTTATAAAATCTGTTATAAAAATCTTAAGAATCTTAAACAAGAACAGTACAGTACTGTATATGTAAAAACCACCTCCCATTAACTGTCCCCAAATACATCTTCTGTCTTCAATTCTAATGATTCTTTTGAAAGGTAGGAATCAAAATGCATAATGCACTGCTGAACTGCCCCAGGGGCATTAACAATAAGAAAGAAGGTATTATTACAATACATTGAAAGAGCTTCTTCAGACAGTTGAATCATTCTTATCTGACCTGTACTGCATGTGTTAAATTTTATGCTGTATATACGCATTAATTAAATGACATAAAATAAAATAATTCAAGTAGGTAGCTGTGTCAGCATGCGTAGGCTCCAAAGGAACAGGTAAAGGTTTATTCCTGAAAAGAAAAGAGGTATCAGACACCAGACACCTGAAGAAAGTTCCACAGCCTAAACATTGTTTTCAGCATAAAATAATTCAGTTTGTTTGTGCTGAAAATAGAATGATGTACTGCATATGTAATCTAGTATGTTGGATAAAGATAGATAAATACTACTCTTGAATGACAAAATTAAATATAATATTCTGATGTACAATATAAAGTTGAAAAAGTTGTTTTCTGGCAAAATAGTAGAAGCATAACAGCGCCAAAGTAAAGAAGACAAAAAATAATGACAGATGACATATAGAGATAAACAATAGTATAACCATGCTGAAATTATTCTTGAAATGTCTAATACACAATGATATGATCTCCTATGTATTATTTACTTTTCGATGGAGAGCACAACTGAAATAAATGAATGAGATACAGTCGATATCAGGAACTTGCAGTTACATTTTAACAGATGTAAGACAAATAATGATGGGACTGAAAAAAATGGGAATTTCATGGTGGCTTATTAATATGTTAAAAACACAAGGCAATGATGTTCGGGGGATGTACAATACCTTTTGTAAAGTGTACTTCCATCAGTTGATTTTTTTGTGTCATTATGTGGGGCAGAGTGTTTAGCACTGCTGCCTCTGGGTCACTGGGCTGTGGGTGTTTGATCCTGGCCTCAGGTATCCGTGTGTAGTTTACATGGTGTCACGATTATAGTCCCCCCTCCTTAAGGGTGCTCCAGCTCTTACACTTGAGACCTTATTCTGTGCACCTGATTCCTATTCCCAGCCCACCTTAAAAGCCAGGCGCTGACGCTCATCCGGGCTCTGCATCTGATTTCCGTATCGTGCGAGTCCGGGACCTGGAAGCGCCTGGTCCCGTTAAGGTTTTAATCTTTGTTCCCGTTCCCTGTCTGCCGGTTCTGACCCGGCCTTCGTGTTTTAATTCCTTGTTCTGATGGATTTCCTGGTTTTGGACTTACCCTTGTGTTTTGGATATTCTCTAAGGACTACTCTTTTGGATTGTTCGCCTCGGCCACACCTCCCCCGTGCACCAGCGCACCTTGGACACGCCCCCCTGTCTTCAGCCCCGTATTCCTGCACGACGTTTCCCCAGTGTTTCCCCACTTCTTCGGATTGTGTCGTCCGCATAGGGTCCGGAAAGAACTGTTCGTTACACATGGTTGTCCAGTGTGTGGGGGTTTTCTCTGTTTGTCTGCGTTTCCACATCCCTCCCTAAAGAATTGATTGGCTACCCTGAAACGTCTCTTTGTCTCCCAACTAGGGGGATTATTCAGCTCTGCCTTGTGCCCTGTACTCAAGGTTAAGCAGTTTACAGATAATGTATGATCTGCCGTTGGTGTTTTGTGAATATGGAGGGAATTCAACTTGGATTTCCTTTTGATGTGTTACAATACCATATTACTTGTCATAATTGTTTGCAGAGAAATAAGATGAGAAAGTATACAAGGGTGAGCCACCATCTTGTTAGCGGATTTGTGAAGCACATGTGTGCGGACATCTGTGACAACACTGATTTAACTGCAGATGTCATTTCTGCACATTCTACAGTTGATGTTCTTTTTTTCTCTTTCTTGGAGTACGTGTATATCGTGTTGACAAATTAAATGCCAAAGTAGGAATATCTAAAAAACAAAAATAAATAACCTATAAAAGGACAGTGTAAAGTAAGAAATATACAACAAAATGTGGATCAATGATATTAAATACAAGGGGCTCCTACTGGCCTGACAGGCAAAAGCTATGATGTTGTCTCTGTATAATACAGATGTACACAGACAGCACAGTTCATCATACTTCAGACTCTTGACATTATTAGATGCATTTATCAAAATAATATTATATTACACAATAAGAAACATTCATAATACTTTGCTGTTATTATTTATATTAATTATAAATAAAAATACAAAACCTTTCCTTGGTTTCCAATAGAATCAAGAGATATATGTGTACAAATATACTAATGAAAGCAAATGAAGAGCCCTTGGTAATCAGAAAAGGGTGCTTGGCCTGTGGATCTCATTTTTTCAAAGGCCAAAAGAAAGGAATGTTTGCTTGTATTTAAAGCCTTGAGCCAAAAGGGAGAGAATGCCATTTGGATTTTGAATAGTTTTCATTGATTGTGTGCCAAGAAAAAGACTAAGCCCAGGAATCTAATTACGTAGAGAAATATAAACTACATGCAACACAAATCTTAATTATTGGGATGGAAAATACATATACATAATCATATTTAATCAGATCAATATGTCATAAACACTACAAGCATGCTTAGTTTCCTGATTAATTCAAAACTTTTAATACGATTGATCTTTTGCTTGGAAATGTCTTGCTTGTAGAAGTGCATTTACTGTACCTTATCGCTCGGGACATGCCATGACTTTGGCACAATATTCTTGAAATCTGACAGCAAAAAATGTTTAATGGTTAGATGTATCATTTTATAAGGACAATAAGTTGAGCTCTTCCTGTAAACGGACTGCCGATCTTTGAACTTTGTTGTAATTGCTTTCTCAGGTCCGTCAGTGTAAATGATTGTTTTCTAGGTACATGTAATTAGATAATAAAACACACAACACCTTCACCTCTAAAAACCCCTGTCCAGCCACATAATTTATGAATTGGAACATTAAGCCACTTTATTGAAACCTATATATTTATTTGTATTGAAGGTTATTTCCAAACAATAAAGAGAACTGCTGTCTTGGAATTGCACCATGTTTGTATGTAGTGAAACACTGTTTAAATATTTCATCCCACACATATTCATGTACAGTACATCATCATAAACTACTCAACCAGGGCTCATCTCCACTAAAACACACAAACCTGCGTTTGGTGATGGAGCCATTTCTGTGTCGTTAAATGCTAGGGTTTTGGTTTGGTAGCATATTGTTTCGTGGCTTTGTTCTTAAGGGGAACAAAACGTATTTACCTGTATAACTGTTCATGCTTGGACACGTGTCAAGCAACTAGGAATAAAGTTAAGAACCTTTTGGGTTTATTCCTGCCACAACCAAGAATCCAGGAAAAAAAGACACATCTTAGCATGTGCGAAAACACTTGCCTTGAAATGCAAAGCACAGTATTACTTTTAATGAGAGAAAATATTGAAAGAACCTCCCCAATGATCTATGACTATTAAACACCAATTTGAATGGCTGAAGAGTCATGAGACTTTTATCACTCTTAATTTGATACAGGTTTCTAAGGCACCCTACAGAAGAAAACCAGACAAAACCACAACTTCCTACAAAAGAGAAAAAAAACAGTAAACGGATAATGAATGTGGATCATAAACGTCTCGTCAGAAATCCAACCACTTTTATGGAATAAAAACGTTTTTTTCTCTCTCAAAAGTGATACACTGAAATCAACTGCAAACATGAACATTAAGTTAAGGGAAGAAGGTATTAAATTTGAAAAGCTACTGTGCCAATAGCTTATGCTGAGCGACTGTGCCAGGTCTGTCTGCTCGTATGGTATTGTGTGAGGTAATACAGCATGTCCTTCAGCTCAGCTGCATTTAGCACCAGTTTTATCGAAGGGGGGTTTGTGTATTCTCTTTTTGGTGCCTAACCCAGATTGCTAACATTTTATCAGGGCTGCAGGATATTGCCCTGTCGACACAAATCAAGGAAGAAACGTGAGATTTCAGTTCAGTGCAAGTGGCATTCTCGGACTGAGCAGAACTTTTCTAATTTCAGATAAAATCAATGACGCTTTTGTTTCTTTTTATTGTATTTTTCATACAGCTTCTGGCAGATCTAGAGAATAACGCTCTCTTCAAGGATGATATTGAATGTCAAAAGCTTATTCTTGAAGCCATGAAATATCACCTTCTACCAGAAAGGAGGCTTTTGTTGCAAAGCCCGCGGACAAAACCGAGGAAGTCTACAGTTGGAGCACTATATGCTGTTGGAGGGATGGATAATAACAAAGGTACTGAATAATATATGGAAATGGTATTTTCTCCTCAGGAAACATTTGCCCTGTTCCAGCTGTGCTTCAGACTTCAAAGATACTGTACCTCCCTTGTAAATACTTTAGCAGCCAGGCAATGTGTGTTTTCTTTTTGTTTTAAATTCTTACTTTTTACTTTGTATGCAATAATTTTTAGCATCTGTCACATCCGTAATCCAATATAATCTCAAAACAGTGCGACATAAGTAGGAAAATAATGTGTTTCTGAATACATTTGAATTATTTTCTTTTTTACAGGAATAAAGTATACTTTAAAGACGCAATGTTGAGTACAGTAATTTAATATACAGCAGAAAAGCGTCTGGTTAATTGCTTTGGCACAATGCAATGTAGCACACATTCTCATGACTAATGAGTTAATTATTTTTTTATGAATTGTATTTCATTTTCTGTTAAGGGAATTCCAATGTACATTATTAAGAAACACCGTCAGAAGCCAGTGCATTGTGTCTCATAGATAATTACGCGCGTACTTAATTAATATGTTTGCTTATGTAGAAACAAAGCTTTTTTAAATTGACTATAAAAACATTATTTTCTGGACACCTCTTATCACTGGGAGTTATTCTTCTCTGTGCCCAGTTCTTCAGAGATAGTATCTGGGTTTCCAAGACAATTATCAGCTTCAACTACACTCTCCCTTATTCGTTTCAATCAGTAACGACATCTCTTGTCATTACTTACAAACATTCCCATGCTCTTCTGGATCACTTAAAGTGCTTTCAGAATACAATATATTAATTGTTTCCAGAAATACAAACAAACAAATTGCCCCTGGGCAAAATTCTGTGCTCTATTCATTTCAGGGTCTTAGGGGAACAAACCAGGCAGAATTCCTTACTGTTCTATTCAGGTTCTGAAAGGAAAAAACAGCCCCTTTCCTTACCACTGTAACTCTGTCCAGCCACATAAATCCATGACGCTGGTGGTAACATGATTTACATGTAAAAACAGATTTATTTCTAGATCTGCAGGATATAAAGAATATTTGAAAAAAATGTTTTTGACATAAAGTGTTCTTTAATGATGTACCTCTCTGATTCTAAAAGTTTAGTCATAAAATCCACTATGCTGTTCAATAAGGCTGTGGCTGTCTGCTGTACTGTTTGTACTAGGGCAGCCCGAAGACATTAAAGCCCCCATGACACTACACCGCTCCTTTGTCTCTTACTCTGTGCCATTTAAAAATGACTTTTGCTGTTGAATGAAGTTGCTACCTCAGGTTATATCTGTGAACTCCAGTCAGGGTGGTGGTTAAGCTGTAACTCATTGTGTAGTGTGGTCTGAATATGGTTCCTGTGAAGAGTTTTGTATAATGTGAAAACGAGGATCGATTCATTGTTCATCGATGAACACCTGTGGCATGGACATAACCATCCTACAGGCATTTAAACTGGGCATTACTAATCTCCTCTCCTGAGGCAGTCCCTCCACCTCCTACCAGTAGGCAATGGACTATGCCCACCCATGGAAAGACTCTGCTGGATCCCAACTAGACTGGTGGAGAAACTAAAAAAAAAACTTCAAGTACAGTAGGTTAGCTCAATCTGTTTTTTTCTTGAGGGTTTAGTTGCTTTTTATAGTGAGATGCTAACAAATTATTGACACTCCTGCGACTCCCAAAACATCCAGTTTCTTTTGCTCATTCTTCCCCTGGTGTACCGACCAGCCGAGTCCTCTCAAGACGGAAGGATGATGCCTTGATCGCTTGCCGAGCAAGACAAGGCTGACTGCTTATTTACAGGCTTGTGAACAGCGTCGCCAGGTCTATAAGGAAGCTCTCAAGGCTGCCAGCTCCTTCTCTATTCCACGTTTTTTTTCTCCATCGCCAAAATGTCTGAGCCCGTCTATTTTTGTTTCCTCTACTGAACAATATAAATACGTATGATTTTATTCACAAGCAAGACATACAATGTTAATAATCATCTGATGACATCAACTCCTGCAGTCATGTCAGCTACACCTACTGCAGCTGAAACAAATCTGCTCTCCTGTCATTATATTGCTGTGGAATCTGCTTATGTAACTAAGTTGGCAGCTACAATGAAACCTACTACCTTTGCTTCGGACCTTATTCTTATACCCCGTATAAAATCTAGTTTCTCTTCTCTTTGTCCTAATATCATCTAAAAATAATTTGACGCTGATATTTCTTATATAAGAATGTTTCAATGCATCAGTACCCTGCAATGTATCATCTGTCACTCTGCAATGATTTACAAACTTATTTATGTATAGCATCTGTTTATCACCTGGTATTTTAAGTGTGTCATTTAAAAATAAATATTTATATTGAAAACACAAATCAATTATATATATTTTTTATTAGCCTGGGAACACCCTGTATAGTAATTGTTGTATTCTCAGGCAATTAAATTTGCATTAGAAAGTAAGAATGCTTAAATTAATTATAGGATATCTCTGCTGTAGTACTAGATGTATAAGAAATATGTTTGTTTTCTTTATATGGAACAACAGGGTATTCATTTCTAATAAGGATTGGTGAGTTTAATCCTTTGTGAATGAAAACCATAAATTTTCACTGTTTTCTTGTAATGCTTCCCTAGGTGCAACAACCTTAGAGAAATATGACCTAAGGACAAACACTTGGACACAAGCTGGAATTATGAACGGTAGGAGGCTGCAGTTTGGAGTGGCTGTGATTGATGAAAAGCTGTATGTTATTGGTGGGAGGGATGGCCTACAGACTTTAAACTCAGTGGAATGTTACAACCTGAAAACAAAAACATGGACCACCGTGCCTGCGATGTCAACTCATAGACATGGACTTGGTAAGTAAACCATGGACAGTTCAAATAAACTCATCTCTGTCTTAAGATCTGGTGTCTTGGCTCCTTCAAGGCTACCCAAACAGCAGTGAAGCATGAATGCAAGTGGGCAGTCAGAAACAGCTGCACAGGAAGATTCTCATTATGTTGTTTTTGTGGTAACTGATACTAGCTAAAGACATAATTCTCAAATCAATCAGCCCAGTGGATTAATAACATGAGACAAAAAATAAATTGATGAGCACTCTCCTTCCTGTACAAGACATTAATGACTTTCTCTGAGTCTTGTAACCTTTCAGACCCCATTACCCTATTAGTTTCTAATTAAGGACTTCGATACCTTCCATTTCCCCGACAAACAGAGAACATTAAATAGATAAAAATGCAATTATTACGTCAAACTGAGACTGAACCTAACCTATTTGATACACACACTTTTTTTAGCTAATTGTTTTCTGGTATAAGAACTTTGGAGTATATAATTCTCCAGGAGAATATTTTGGATGCCTGATTAATTAAATGCATACGCTTCCTTACCAGCTGACTGCAGGGCCTCAGACTCGATGCACATCTGCACTTTTTGCATGGTCTGCCATGTTTTTTTGTACTTGTACTGTCTACACTGTGTGGTGTCTAATGTACATACTGCATACAAATGTCTATAAACTCCTCTACTACTTTACTACTACATATATTCCATACTGTTTAACACTAAAGGACATAATAAGGTGTTCGTTTTGCCCATCTATCTGTTTTTTTTTTCAGTAACTAATTAAATTGACCACCCAAGAATCTATTTCTACGCTTTCTTGAAGGAGACCAGGGTATCGGCTTCAACTTGCTCCATACTCCCACAGCCTTCCAGTTCTCAGATCTCCATAGCTTTAATTTGTCTTTTCTGGTTTAGTTTCACTGGTGATTATGAAGCAATCCATATAATTATCTTGTCAGCTTCTGAGGATTCTGAATCAAGTCCTCTCATAGCCGGCTCTGTGCAGGATATTCCTCTGAGCAGAGAAAGTTATCTGCCTGCTGTCTCTGAGCCGATAGCAATATCTTCCTCTCATCTCAGTGACCAAATTGTACACAGTCTTCTCAATGAGGCCTTAATAGTGCATTAGGCAATTTTAACATAATAACCACTAATTCACAATACTTGCTTTTAACAATACTGTATATCCTGTTTCACTTACTGCTTTCCCACATTGCTGGAAGATTAAAATAGCATCATCATATGCAGCAAAGTCATTCTTAGAATCAGCCTGCTCAAACTTAATGTTTCACCTTTTATTTTTGTAGTTTTTTTCTACTTTGGTTGAATTGTTTTTTGACAGATTTTAATTTCGAAAGTGCTGTGCTGATTTTTAAGAACTTTGTCTCCTATATAGCACAGCTAAATTCAACCATTGTTATGAAACACTGCAAAATAAGCAAATTATTCATTAACTAATTTTGGAAATGACTATATAATGTTACATTTGCAATTATTTTAAATATGAAGAAAACAGAACACAGAAAAACACAAATAAAATGTATAAGTAAACTCATTGGTGAAAATGATGTTGTCTTCTAATATCTACAGTACATATTATGGCATGTATTACACAATAATGTAATTAAATACAACACTTTTTTCCTGTTAGAAATTTCAGCCAAGTATTTTGTCCTTATACAGTACTTTGTGTTCTGCAGTTTTATTCCCAGAGGTTAATGGTTTATTTCCCATTGTCCAGTATGTTTGCACTGTTGATACTGATCAATTACTATTCAACCACTGTGAGGAAAATTATTTAGCTTTGAAGTTTCATAATTTATCTTTATATGTAAGCAGGTGTTATTCTAATTTCAAAAGATCATCATGGTGTCTGCTCTATTGTTACATACAGTAGTTTCTTCGGATTTTCTATTGCTGTCAACACTGTGTGAAGTTTGCATGTTTTCAACAGTTTCACACGTATTTTGTTCTGGGTGCTCTTGTGTCCTCCCACCTCGCTTGTTGAGACATTCTTGGAATGTTTGTATGGCTATTTCAAATGTTCCCTTTTCTCTGTAGCCCTGTGACAGACTGATACACTGTCCAGGTGGAGAGCAGGCTCTCTCTCCCATCTTGAACCTCATATTCCCTGGATGGGCCTTGACATACAGTACTGTGGCCCTGACCGAGAAAAGCATCTTCCTCATAATGGATGGGCAACAATATGCTTTAGTGCAGAGCAAGTTTATTTGGCAACAGCCTGAAGAATAATATTTCTAATACAGTATGTCTTCTCTGGGTGAATTTCAAAAATACTGTATGAAGCACACAATCAGCAAAGCAGTGGATATTTACTGTGTGAACCTGAAAAGATGCAGATCTCTTTCTTGTTCCTGTCCCAAACTAAACACAGTTAAAGGTTAACATATTGGATTATACCGCACAGAACAGAAGGAAAAAAACTCACTGGGTTTAAGGAAACAAAGTCATTAGCAACATAATGAGGATTAAGTGCTTTGTCTATTGAATCTTACCTTGTATGAGTCTTATAAAAGGTATGACTGGAAAAGACTATCGATTTTAACCTTTCAAACTTGTGTATTGTTTTCCAATCAAGGTTCCTGTTTTATTTAGACCATTTATATAGAGCATATTTTCTGCCATAAAAAAACAGGACTTTATGGCATTTTTGACAGAAACATTAATGGCAATTTTAGACAGAATTGGTGATTAATAGCAAGATGACTTATTTATACTTATACACATTCACTTTTGGAAGACTTGGTTTTACCATTCTATGTACTATTTTTCATTAAATGTTATTTATATTGCGATGAGACCTGCTGCAATAGTACAAATATTCCTGGCTAGACTTCAGAAAGTAAAGCTTTATCTCTGATTACCATCAGTAATCAATTCCGGAGTTAACAGGAGTCACCAGAAAAGAACATTAGGTTTCACTGCTGTTCCATTTAATGTCTCTTCTTTTAAGCTGTTTGCAGTGTTTACACTGCGATGTCAGTTTTCTACCCTTGTCCACAGAGCTGTGCCAGTAGATTTTGTTTTAATTTCTTTTTACGGGGCCTACTGGGCTGCAGGTTTAACTGCTATGACAGCTCATACCAACAGCTTATGTCCATTGAGGCCTTGCTATGGGTTTGTGATTAGCATTGGAATATCCTTCTGAGCTGTGACATCAGATCACAGCACTGTTAACTCACATCAACCAGCAGCTACTCTTGCTCTTGGAAACTAAAACTGCCAATTTCTCCTTTACAGGTTGCAGTTGTTTTTTTTTTGGTCTTAGAATTGAAATCCAAAATAAAAAGAAAAGTGTTAATGATTTCACAGCTATGTAAGACAAGGAAGGACTCCTCTAGTATTACCACTAGATGGTAGCACATGTGCAGATATTTTTGTAAAAGGGAATATGAGGACTGTACAGCCTTTCCTAAATTTGTCACAAAAATGTTTTTATTTATAATTCCATGATGAAAGGAAACTATTACAATTTAACCAACACTCTGAAATGACAGTGAGTGTCTAAAATATCATATTAAATAATTGAAAAGTCAATATTGATGATGCAGTTACTATCTTTTTTAGTCAATTATCATTCATCCTGCATTAAAAGTCCATACTGTAGCTTAATACAAAAACATCACCTTCTGCTTCTGTAAATACACACCTGCTTTCCATTCTCTTCATGTCGTTAAAGGTTTGCATCACAGGATCACAGGTACCACCACATCACATCACTGCATCACAGATACTACATGTCCCAGCAGGACTGACTTGTTCATTTATTACTTGTACGCTTGTGTACATTTCATTCGAAGCTGTTATTATACTTATTATTAATATGACTCCCCTTAGTTTGCTGGTTGTCTGAGAAAACATGCAATGTGGTGTAAGAGCTGGATTAAATAGAATCCAATTTACACAGTATTATAATATGCACAGTAATATAAATATACAGTTATACAGTACCTATAGTTGAACAGCAGGTCAGAAAACAGGTTGGGATAGAATTGGGATGGGACATTATTAACAAGTATTTGTGTTTGTTTAATAATAAGTAATAAATACATAATCGTGAATGTGATTTTAATGTGGAGTTCACTTTCAAAGGTACTGATGAGTAAAAAAGAGGAGATCTAAGAAGCAAACAATTCCAATAATATTATCATATAAATAATTCAACAAGCAGAGGACTCCAAAACCAATTAAAAGTAACAGAAGTTTGTTTCTCAGTTTGTAGTTATGATCCCCTCAGGGCAAGATGAGTCATTAAACTCAAACCAAACCTGACCTTAATCGTGACAATCGTTCTTCCCAAGTCTTCGTTTTTCAAAGCCCAATTATTTGTCGACATTTGTGGGCAGTGACATACAGTACCACTGCCTTGATGTCGGACTGAGTGACATTGCTACTAAAATCTAGTATTCCCCCTATGCAAAGAAATCAACGCCATAGATCTTCTTTGCTGTGCTGTGAGATGACGCTCACTAATGACACACAGTACAACACTCAGAAAGTCACCCTGGCAGCAGATGATGTCACTTCTAGGAACATGTAATGCGCTGACAGGAAAGATGTCAGCCGCTTATGAATTTTAGCTTGAGGTTCAGCTGCAAATTGAAGTCTGTATTCTGTATAAACAGCAATGCAATCTCTCTATGAATTTAAATCCTGCATTGACTATTTCGCATTGAATAGATGAAAGAAGCCTTTGTCTAAGTATTTATTTGAGTAATTTAAGGTGTTGAAGGGGGTAGAAGTTTTAATTAAATCCTGTTTTATTAGACAAATATATTTTTCTTAGAGGACCATTCGAAACATAATTTAGCTAAATAAGGCTGACATTTTACCTAGAAAATGGCTGAAACCTTAGAATAAGTCAGGAGTTGCAATTAGGTTACATATTATACATATTATAACTAATTATAATTAATGAGATAAAACTACATGACTGCCATTTACTACAATCACAATGGTTTTTATGAAACTTTAATTACTTCAGTTCATAGAATATGATCTAATATAATCATACCTGTGTTAATAAAAAAAAAATTTCTGAACAAAATGCAAAGATTTTTAAATTTTGTATTACAAAGCCATAGTATGTATTGGAATGCTTTTGTATCTGGCTCCTTCAAAATAACAGTTGAAATGGTCTTCTAAACAAAGACAACTTTAAAACAATTAGGCGTTTTCTTTTTCCTCACATGAAGTTCCTTCCATCCATTTTCTAACTGCTGTGTCCTGCTCAGGCTCAGAGGGGAGGCAATGCATGTCAGGGGAAGCAATGGGCCCACCCTGGACGGGACGCCAGCCCACCGCTGGGCCCCCACAGGACACACAGACTCAGACACGCACGCTCACATGAGCGCCAATTAACCTTCCAGTATGTCTCTGGACCTTGGGAGGAAACCAGAGCACCCAGAGGAAACCCAGGCGAACACTGGGAGGACATAGAGACTCCGCGCACATAGCACCCCATGAACCGAACCCAAGGCCCCTGCACTGTGACACAGCAATACTGACCTCGCCACCCATCACAGGAAGATGTTCGCCCGAAATACTTTGTTTGGCCCTTTACTTTTCAGTATTTACTGTACATGTTTCCACTTGGTCAGCTTTTAAGATCACATGGTCTCAACTATTATTTCTATGCTGATGATACTCAAATCTACATCCATACCAAACCGGACACTGATCTGGCTATCTCTATTCTATCTATCTATTCTATCTACTTGCATCTCCAACATAAAAACTTGCATGGCATTTAACCAAATTTGCATTAGTTTGTTTGTCACACATTTTCTGTCTGGGCAGGGGAACAAGTTTGCTGGGTTTCTTTATGTCATTAAGTAGCTTTTTAAGATGCTCCCCAGGTGGTGCCTGTATTTTTATATTCACTATATCTTTATTTTATTGATAAAGTGATTATCACAGTACTACAGTACATGTAGGTAACTTTATAAACTGTCAAAATATACTGTATATGGTACAGTATATGCAATAAAAAGGTTTATGCATTTTCAGGAGCTCTATCACTTTTCTTTTGCTCAAATGCTCAAAGACATTTCTTTGTACAGTTTTGAACAAGACATTACAAAAAATATGCTGCTGCTTTGGAAGACCAAGAAAAGCAAAATTGTTTAAAATTGAACTACTTTACTCCAAGGGATCTGGAAGTATGGAACAAGCTACCCTGCTACCCTTGTTGTCAAAGCCAAAGGCCCTGGCTACTTTAAAGAAGAAAGCTGGATAGGATCCTTGGATCAGTTTTCTATTAGCAACCAAACAAGCTGAAGGGGCCGATGGCCTCCTCTCTTTTGTAACCTTTATTGCCTTCATTGTGATCTAAGTGCTCATATTTATCAACAGGCAGTGATGTATGACTTATTTATGCAAAATAAAGGTCTTTTTTGAAATATCAAAATGGAAATAGCATAGGTTATAAAAATGTAAATACTATACTATGATGTATACAGTTGTTCCCCCTACACCAATAATCCTATAATTAGAGTTAAGAGGCATTTCTGACAGTTTAATCACAGTGTTTGTTTTTTATACAAGACAGGGGATGTAACTATGATCTATATATAGACTGATTACCCCTTAATGCAATTTTTTTTGCTGTAACTTCTGAAAATATTTTCATCTTCACTAATAAAATGCCAAACACAAACATGTAAATCAAGCATGTTTTAGAAGAGACATAGTAAATAAATATTGCTAGAATGAAGGTGTATTTTATAGTGTACATAAAATGCAAAATACACTAGAGACAAGGATTCTCGCTCCTAATGAAGATGATACATTCCTCCTACAAATAAGAGGCCTGATACTGTGTTGCAGTAATGTTTGCCATAAATTAGCAACAAAATATTTTTTGTTGCCTTTACTGAAAGAGAGGGAATGCATTGTTAAGTCATTTACTTTTTCATTTGGGGCTATTTATTTAAGTGTTCAATTATTATAAATTAAAGAAAAACTGACCATGTGTATAGTAATTATGTCATATAGTATTTTCCTAAGGCTACTCTGTCATAGAGGCTAATGTTCTGTTATTGTTAAAACCCCTTTTTTTAAATAATCTGGGCAGCCAGCAGCCATTTCACCCTGCAACTCACAACTGGCAACCTGCTAAAGCTAAGTCGGTGTGAGCCTGGTCAGTACCTGGGTGGGAGACCCTGGCTGGAAGAGGTGTTAGTGGGGCCAGCAGGGGGTTCTCACACTGTAGTCCATGTGGGTCCTAATGCTATGGGTGCACTATGGCTGCTGTCGCATCATCCAGGTGGGGCTGCACACTGGTGGTGGTGGAGGGGAGACCCCAATACCTGTAAAGTGCTTTGAGTGGAGTGTCCAGAAAAGCGCTATATACGTGTAAGCAATTATTATTGTTATTAATAGCAGTTGTGAATGCACACACAAAGGCACATGCACCATACATCCAATCACAATCAAACACAAACAATCAAATGGTAATTCTAGAAGGTCTTGAAATACAAATTCATCATCCTGTTCAGTATTCAGTTTGCATTGCCGCTGATAACGTCTCTTTCCAAGGAGTGACAGTATTGGAAGGCCCCATCTATGCAGTGGGAGGTCATGACGGCTGGAGTTACTTGAGCACCGTGGAGAGGTGGGATCCTCAAAGTCAGCAGTGGACGTTTGTGGCAAGCATGTCCATCGCCAGGAGCACTGTAGGAGTGGCCTCTTTGAATGGAAAGTGAGTAATGGGCAACTTCTGCATTTCCGCAGAGCACCACACATTGGGTGTCAAAAGACGTTCTCCCATTTTAAGGCTTCTTTTGATGTTTGATTCACTGAAAAATAATGGCAACCTGAGTAAAAGCCCTTGTGAGTGAATGTCGATCTCCCGTACCTCTGTCTGAGCAGGCTGTATGCAGTGGGAGGCCGGGATGGGAGCTCCTGTCTCAGCTCGATGGAGTGTTTTGATCCCCACACTAATAAGTGGAATGTTTGTTCGCCGATGTCCAAACGACGAGGAGGTGTTGGGGTGTCAACGTGTGATGGATTTCTGTATGCTGTTGGGGGGCATGATGCACCTGCTTCCAATCACAGTTCCCATCTCTCTGATTGTGTGGAAAGGTAATTAAGTAATACCTCCTCATAGAATTACATTAATGAATACAGTTTATAGTAATAGTCTTTAGAAAATGCGATCATGCCAGATCGCTGGTCATAATGTCCTGTAGAAGGTCAGCAATGCTGGTTATTCAAGCCCTTTTCATTTTGTCTAAAATTAAGGTCTTGATTATTTTTTTCCCTACTGTAAGGTTTCTTGTTACAGTTGTGTCAAAATAAAAGCACAACAATCTGAAAATCTGGTTGATGAAAACCATCCGTTCCGTGACTGGCTGTAATACAGAATGTCACTCTGTGATATTTTAGACAGGCATTTAATTAGGCTCGTTGCTGTACAAGAATTGTATAGACCAGCACAAGCAAACTGAGTAATTCATGCATTCCCTGTCTGTCACTTTGCTTCATTATGGAAAGCCAAATCTATCAACACAAAAAATATCCTTGTCTTAATTAATTTAAGTAACTTTGGAGTTAAGTAACTTTGACATTTGTAAATTTGTGCCACTGGGCTTAATAGCCACTCCTCATACTCACTGTATTTTTTAATGTATATTGCATACAACATGTATTATATTTGGATTGTGCACTCATACAGTATATCTATACTCTGTACAGGTACTTAAAAGTGTATAGTAAGAAACAACTTTTTAATAATACAGCCAGGCATTGTCTAACTGCTTTCTCCAAACTAGGGTTACAGGGGAGCAGAAAACTATCCCAGCAAGCAACAGGCGCAAGGCAGGATACACCCAGGACAGAATGTCAGTCCATCGCGAGACAGAAACTGACACAAACACACACACACTCACACCAGGACCAACTTTCCGAGAAACAAGTTAGCCTGCCAGTATTTCACTGGAATGTGGGAGGAAACCAGAGCAGACATAGGGAGAGCAAAGGGAACCCACACAGAAATGGGGAGGACATACAAACTCCATGCAGCTGGCACCCAGGACTGGTCCCAGGGCCCCGGTGTATAAGGCATATAATTATAATTAAACTTCTTATATACATTTGCATAATTTATTTGTTTGCCTTTGGTATTTCCATGCAGATATGACCCCAAAACAGACACATGGACAGCTGTGGCACCGTTAGGCCTGGCTCGTGACGCTGTTGGAGTTTGCCTTCTTGGAGATAAGCTGTACGCAATCGGGGGTTATGATGGGCAAACATACTTACAAACAATGGAGTGTTATGACCCTCAAACAAATGAATGGACAAAGGTGAGTAAGACATTAAAAAAGAATATGAATATTTTCCATTAGTAGAAGTAAGATAAAGCAGTGTTCCTACTTCTCTTTAAATAGATTTTTCACACAAAACGTATCTTCTCTTATACAGATGGCATCACTGAACATTGGAAGAGCTGGTGCTTGTGTTGTTGTCATTAAGCAGCCATGAAGTCCACAGAAAAGACTCTTCTTGTATCACAAGTGTTTCCTGAAATGGTGCAAAATATCAAACATGACCAAACATCATCGACAATTTGTTCAACCATTAAATTGTTAGAACAATGACAGTGTCTAACTGAAGTGTCTAATCAAGAATGGAAAGTTAAAAATGTTTTAAAATATATATATAAGATTATTTCAAAATAAATTACCTATGATGTATTTTGGAATAACCTTGAATTAAACTCACAATCCACATTTTGGAGACCTGTGTAAATTGAAAATATTGTATTCGAGAAATACTTTTTTAAGGAAATGTACATGCTGTTTTAAAATGGCCACATATATCCAATATATCTGATTGAAATTTAACTGGATATTCTTCCATTATTGCAAAAGTGATGAGAAATTAACTACCTTATGTTAATTCTTCTACTGTCCCATGACAAAAAATAATCTCACTTTCCTTTCAGATGCAATTAAAATAATATGCAGTATTTTACATTGCAACTTTTAAAATATGGTATTGGTATACAAACTACATAACAACTAAAGTTTGAGCAGAATCTCCATTTAAATAATTGTGTAATATTTCTCATAGACAATAATCTGTGGTTTCTTTGGAAAGACTAAATGTTTAGTTTTTTCCTGCAAAAGAGCATTTACAGTAGATCTTTCACTTTCATTCAAAAAGTAAAAAACATTTGTTTTTCATGGTTTTTAAAAGCATATACAGTTATATACATATACCAAAGTCAGAGATACATTATTTTTACTCTCAGGAAATCTTTTTTTTATTATCAAAATTATTTATGGTAACACTTGTTTTGTCTCTGTGTCAATGTCATCCAATTAAGTATTTTCTAGCTAAAGAAAATTGGTATAACTGATAAAAATAGTAACTATAATAACTGTACAATTAGGCAATGAGCCTTATTAAATGCCTGTCTAAAATAGTCATTTTGTTTTCTTCCAAAGATTGTGCAAAGAATTGTAATGATCAAAGTATTATTACAGTATCAACCAAACATTAATAAGGAATTCTGTAATATGTTTAGCAAATACTGGGCATTTACAGAACAAATGGAGTATTGTTCATTTGTCATCCACAGGCCAATAGATTCTAACCATTTATTCCATACCTACTGTACCAGTAAAATTTACTGAGACGTAAATTAAAGCATGAACCTGATATATTACAAGAATGAAGCTGCTTGGTGATTTTGCATTATAAGATACATCTGCTCTGTGTCATCTCATTGCTAATATGAAGGAAATTCTCAATGAAGAACTGCTCAGGAAATCTGTATTCAACAGGTACAATGGAATGGGTGTGGTTAATAATTATTGTTGTTATCACTGTAATTGGTTCTGCTAATGTTGAATGTAATATTCTAATTTATGCTTTTCCTCCTCTCAATCTGAGCTCCTTCATTATGGACAGTACTGATAAACTCTTCCTACTCTGGCAGAGGAATCCTACTCCATTGGGCCCCTGAGCAAGGCCCTTAACCCCAACACCTCAAGGGGCGCCGTATAATGGCAGACCCTTCGCACTGACCCCAAGCTTCTCTCTCCCTGTCTGTGTGTCTGTGTGTCTCATGAAGAGCAAGTTGGGGTATGCGAAAAGACAAATTCCTAATACAAGAAACTGTATATGGCCAATAAAGTGATCTTCTTCTTCTTCTCTTCCGGATGAAGGTTTAGTGCAATTAAGAGCACTGACACATGAAACATAACAGATATTGAAAACCTTTGGTAGGGACACAGGTGTTTTTGGGGACTAGGGTAAAGGATGTATGGTCTTGTTTCATTTATTTTATTGATTTTAAAAAGGGAATGTATGGTACTCATTCAGTACCATAAGATAGGAAACTGCCTGTTAAGCTTAACAAGTGAGATGGAATGGAGGTTTTCTGGAAAACCTTGCTCAGTACAGATACTGCACGGCTTCACAGTGCAAACCCAGTGTTTTAGAAGGGTTTAACAGCTCAGATTGCTGTGATGCCAAGCAGCTAAAGCCGGTAATGGAATGTGGCTCCTGAAAACCTGAAAACCTTGATGAGTGAAAGCAGAAAGAGACGGCAGGCCTTCACAGGCAGGCAGACAGGCCTTCAAGTACAGCCCATGAATGACTCATCAGCTATCAGACCATTAACAACCAGTCTGACCACTTTATGCAAGGTCTTATCACAAAACTATAATTAGAACATACACTATATTAAAAGCTCTGTACTGTATTAGGTGAGCATGATTCTATCAATAGAGGGGATTTCATAATATGGAATTTTTTCACAGGTAATAATATATTATATATACTCTTGAATCAATAATAGTGTATAATATAATAATAATAATGTATAGTATTTTGCTTCAAGGAACTGTGGGTTGAAATATTTACACGCACCTGTAAATATTAGTTTAAAATCAGGTTACCTATTGTAAATCTGTTGCATTAAAGATCATACTGTAAGCTGATTACATCAGAGAGCAATATGACATTTTCAGAAGTTCGACATTCTGTGTAGCTAATGATTCTGTTCGCTTTAATCCTGTCCATTTTCATGTCCAAATATGTCCCCTTTTCCTGACACAATGCTCTATTCTTCATGAAGCACGAAAGAAGTTGTTCACTGCTGGGTGTTAATGTGAGGGAGCTCACCAATGTCAGCTTCAGAGTTAAGTTTGAGACCCCCTCTCTCCACTCAGCTTCATAATAAACGGATTTCAAATCTGCACTAAACTGCATGGTAACTGTCACAGATGGTGACCCCTGTATGCAGGATAATTTCAGCTCCTGCTTTACAGCCGACTACTTCACCTAGCAATTTTTAAAGGTTGCCAAGGCCACTTTTTTTCCCCAGCAACAGATTCATTTTATCTTCCCAAAACACCAGTGCACCAACAGGCCAGGCAATACAGCCATCCTGCATAATATCCCGTTTATTTCAGTCTTCCTTTCACACAGGACTCATGACGCACATTATTCACAGGGGACTTTCACTGCCCGTGGACCCCAAGTACCAAAACCAGCGGATTATTCTCCTGAAAGCAGCTCCAGTCGCTGACCTGACCTGCCTCCTTCTCCCACAGGGAAGAAACTCTGTGTAGTTTTAGGCTCCTCCATCCTGGATGTCCTGAACATTGTGGTCCCTTATGGTCTTCCCCACCACCCTGTTTGTCTCCTAGTCCAGTTGTAGGTAAAGGAGGGAGGAAGGAGGCCTTCCTCCACTGCTCTCAGTAGAGCTCCTGGTCTCCGAGTCCTCTCTTGGTTGCTGAGGTACAAACTGTGTTTCCTCCAGTTTCTTACTTCTCTGTTTGCTGCTTGAGTTTTCATCACCGGGGTTTTTGATGCCCGTCTAACCATGGCTCATTCTTGGGGTGGGTTGGAAGTGTCCCTTGATGTCTTGGGTGTTGGCAGAGCTAACGCTAACTGCTTGGGGCTCATTGATCAACTGGCTGTATGCTGATGGGCCAGTGTAACAATGCTCTGTGTATTCTTACCCTGTTCCAGACCCCTCTCTCAGGGTAAGGCCGGGTAAACATAAATAAGAATCTATGCAAGGAGGATCTGTGAACAGTGGGAAGCTCAAGGCCAAGCAAAGACTTTTACAGAGACACTGGTTAGTCTATGCAAACTTAAAATCAGCATGGGCCCTGACACCTGCAGTCTCACACCCAAATGGTGTCACTCTGGTCGCTGTGACATAACTCTTTCCAACCTTACAAACACGATTGCATTTGAGGGCATTACTTGATTACTAAATTTAAAATGGTTTTGTTTTGACCATTCTTTCAGAATGACAGTATTTTAATACGGTATGTTAAGGTTTACTGCTGGCAGGAGATCAGGTACAGAAATCTTTTGTCATTTTTTGGTATGTTATGTTTTTTTTTCTTCTTTTGTGGGCACTTCCCTCTCCCTTTAAGCTGTCCCTGCTGTCCTAGTGCAAACAGCAGGCTGGAATCATCAGGGAGCTGTCCAACTAGACTCCCACACAGCCAGGCACATGACACATGAGGTTTGTGTAGGTGCTGAGACAATGGGGACTGGACCTTGAGCAGAGCGGAAGGAAAGACAAAACACCAGGATACAGTACGTGGCAACCAGCACACTGGCCAGATCCACAAACTGCCCCCATGTTCATGCCTGGTGCCTCCCCGTGATCTCCTGGACATCCCCACCCTTCTTTCAAGCCCTGGGGCTGCTAGCCAGTGCGGGTGCTCTGGCCAGGGCAGGGAGGGTCATAGGGAAGATACTTCTTGGGAACATCAGGACTGAAGGGAATGGTTCAGACAGATGAAGTACTGCACCAGTTTTTATTCAGGAGCTTAATCAAGGATGTGCTCTAGAATACATGATCGAGCAGATTCTGGAAAGATTGAAGCCGAGGGCGTTTTGAAAGTTGTTGAAGTTCTCTTTTTGTAATGTCACAGAGAGAGAGGACTGTGCAGCCTGCAAGACATGTTCCCATTTTTTTTTGTTTGGATCCTCAGGTATCTGGAACTAAAGTGTTAAATTGTGCTTTGTGTGTCTGATGTACATACCTTTTTCGTTAAAAAAAAACATGTGATACAGGGATACCTTGTTGTAACTTTTAGTAGCATGTAGAGTAGTGCCAGAGTGGAATTTAGTAAGGTCTTAGTGTTCCTAAAAACAGTGTCATGTGATGATATTTAAATACCAAGTAGTCAAAGTTTAATGTCAGGCAAAGAAGAGCACCTGCTACAGAGCATTGTCTCCAGTGACTATTTCAGGGCATGAAGAAAGTTACTTTGCATTGGTAAGTCAGATTTTTCTTTTTTTTTTCTTTGCAAAAAAAAAAGTCTAAGCCTGATAATATGAAACTCCGACTGTGTGTGATCCGGAAGTGTTTCTTCACTTCGTCATTTCATAAAGAAATCGACATTTAGGAATAAAAACATGCATTTCCAAGTGCGGTCGGAGCAGCTGGAACAGGAGGAACAGCCGCACAGTTGTAAAGACTTGATCTGAGAGGCGTCAGAGGCGCCGCTCCTGTCGAATCATTCTTTGTGCTTCAAGCACCTTGCGCGTCTGCTGTGTGTCTGCATTAACCCTGCGCCTGAATCAAGAGAATTTTAAAGGAAACAAATTCCGTTTTTACAGGCTGCAACCACAACTTTTTTGTAGTTTCTCAGAATCTATGGAAGCACTTCTATGCTCAACAATGCTAAAAGGGAAATTAAGATATCAGAGTTAATATTTTTTGTGTGGTAAGCGCTCAGAAGTCCCTTTAAGGGTTAACTTAAGTTGGAATGATGTTCATTTAATCATGGGAAGGAGATATGTTGGTCTTTTTAATCACAGTAGCTTTCATTCCAGTCTTTTGTGTATTCACAATTAACTAAGACGAAAAAAAACGCTCCTTAGCGGAAACAATTTCCAAAAAAAGAATGATTCACGGTTGATCTCCTTGATGTTTTTGTTACTAAAAGCTCTCTTTCATTAGATGTACAGGAAGGTTTAAGAAGTAGAATTGAAACAGTCTGTTTTCACATGATCTTAGCTAATAGGAGATCCGTTTGAATGCGATGACGCGACGTTGCGTGCTTTTTTCTACCCGGAAAGTGAAGTTAAGCTGCAGGTTGACGGATCTTGACTACTGCTATCTGAGAGCATGTAAAAACTGAAACATAACTAAATAACGCTTGTCGTGAGATAGGAAACAATGAACTGATTTATAGTGCAATGAAAAATAAATTATGTTAGTCTACGTGGATAGATCAGTTATCCAGAACTGGTAGATTGAGGATCTAAGGTTTTGTTTTGTTTTGAGTTTTAAAGGTAACGCGACTTACTGTACAGTAACACTCTTTGCCTAACTTTTCAGTGCATTTACACGGACTACAAATATGGAAATCGAAGAAGCATTCAAAGCCTGTGGTGAAATGGGCATTTATCAAATTTACCTCTGTATTCTTCTAGCATTTTTACTGATGGTAAGTAAAGTACCGTAAACAATATGGTAAGCGAGGAGGATGAAAAATGATATATATTATGTTGATGAGTTGTAAAATTGTATTGGGAAAGACGTTCTGTCATGCGAAATACAGTATTTACATTATACATTAAATATTATTTACATTATAATGGTACATAATTTCATTCATACCTTGCATGTGATTACTTACAGTATTTTATGTTGCATACTGATCTGTAATTTTGTACTGTAGTTATACGTGTCAATGGAAGCTGTACTGATTGCCTTGGTGGGATTGTCACCTCCTTTTCAATGGGACCTCCAGAAGCAGTTTGCTAATAAAAGCCTGCCGAGTGTGTCTTCTATTGCGGAGGATCGGCTCTTCAAACAGTGGCTACACGAAGCCAGCCAAAATGAAATGCATAAGCACTTGCATTTCAATGGCAACTACACCTCAATTATATCAGAGGTAAGGGTGGGCTGTGTTTCATCGCTTTCTTGCTTAGCCAGTGGTGTTAGTCTGTTGTCTTTCTCATACTGTACATCACTTAGACTCTTTATTATTTTTAGCTTTTTAAAGTCATCACTAAGACTTTTTTAATTTTTGTTGTACCGTATGTACTGCATGAAAGCTGTTGAGCAGTGCTGGAAGGTGCTCAGAATTAGATATTATATCCTGTATACTGTGTCAGCATGCAAGCATGAAGCAGAAGTTAATTCCTCTTCTATTTCCCCTGACTTATCCAGCCATCTCATTTATCGCATCTCTTGCACAAAACGCCTTGCCATATGAAGAATCAGAAAAACTGTCCTACCGTATCCGTGAACAACGAGAAGTGAATATTTAATGCCTCCTCAATCTGATAGTTCCTAATGTACCCATCCTGACCATAATTACACTGTGCTTTCTTTATGTATTTCTTCACAGTGATTCAAAGACTCCTACTTCAGAAATATATCAGACACCAATAGTATCCTTAAACTAGGTTCATACTTTGGCCTCAGTTTTCAGCATTCAACTAATTTCTTTCTATGATTTCTATAATCCTCCACTCATCTGTAAGTTTCCACCTTCCACTCTTCCTCTGGGATTTGCCCCCAGATCTCTGACCCTCTAGACCCCTTTCTCATCTGTCTTCTGCCCAAACTCACATTCGCTTTCTTTTATCTCCTAATCCTCATGTTCTTGCACACTTCCTCATCCCCCTGCATGTCCGAAGAAGGCCGCACAGCCACATTGGTGCTTGTTTTCTTACTTTTGACATTTCACTTCTGTTGCCTTTAAATACATGAGGAAATATTATGATATCACATCTAAATCTGACAGGTGGCAGTCAGACAGAGAGGGTATTTTGCATATTAATTTTCTTCTTTATTATTTATGACTTTTTTGTCTGTATAACTGTGTGTTTCAGTGGTATTTGATAGGCGACGCTGCCTACAAAGTCTCTCTTGCCAGCTCCTTGTATTTCGTTGGAGTGCTGGTGGGCGCCATCACCTTCGGCCAACTCTCTGATCGCTATGGAAGAAAGAAGCTCTACCTCGCTGGTGAGGCTCTGCTGCTGCCTTTAAAACATACTGCCCACCAAACTTAACATCCTGTTACTCTCTGCGATTCTCATGTTTCACAGTGTAGACCAAATACATTTGTCACGTGAAAATCGGTGATAAATCATTCCGGCATGACATGTCATAAAATGTTTGACTGGCACATTTAAACTTTAGGTTCCATTTATTCATTGTAACAAGTGGGTCATCTGCGGTACTCTGGAAGACTCAATGAGGAACCACAAATTCACAACAAGATCTCTGTGCCCTAGAGAGTAATGATGCAACTATGAGCTTAATTAGCCATGGGGCATGCTTTAATCTGGAATGTTCTTACAATCTGTTGTCTGTCACTTCATAGATCGCAGAAGCACCATTTATGAACTTTGGAAGCATTACAATGTTGTCATAGCATCAGTAACAGGGCACATGCAAGATGTTCACTTGAAACAATACTGATTGGTCCAGTAGATTTAGTTAACCTTGTTGTACATCTGACATTTCAGTATCACACCTCTTTGTGGTTTCAGGCACAGTTTCTTTAGGGGATATTACAGAGGTAATGTTGAAGTATTTTTACTCAGAAACAGCCACAAATAAATTACACTCCTCATCAAAATAATTCACAATATCCTGATGACTTTATTATTGGTTGCCTTAAATGGTTATCATAAATAAAAAAGCAGTGGTATTCTGAATATGAAAACCTACTGCATAATTTGTGAAAATGAGAAGTTAATTTTATTTCTTCAACTGTTGATAATTTGATTTGTGTTTCTCTAAAGGTTTGGCATTTGATATAGTTTTTGGTGTATCAAGTGGCCTTGTACCTACATATCAGCTCTTTGCTGCCTCTCGACTCCTGGTAGGAATAATGAATGGAGGAATGTCATTGGTTGCTTTTGTTTTGCTTAATGAGTATGTGGGAACATCCTACTGGTCAATCACAGGTATCCTAGTATTTTCCTGCTTTTTTATAATTTTTGAAGCGACTTTAAACACGTAAAGTAAAATATTTGCTTGTTTCAGGGTGATGGAACAAATCTAATGAGATTCATTTTAATTGGAAGTGTTTTACACATTTTAAGAGTAGTTTGTCCTGGAACACATTTCTCGGTGTACTAGTTTCTAGAGAACTTCTGAAATTTTCTGCATCTCTGAATTCCTCAACACATTTCTATAGTCTTTGAAAATAAAATTATAGTCATAATGGATGTATGGTTAGATATTCAAACTGAAAATATAAAATCATAACTCAGTTATTGCATCAGGCTTTTTAGTACCCAATTTGAATCAGCTGTTTTAGCAACTGAGAAACAGAATGTACCTGTAGCTGAGGTTCTTCAACAGTTTGTCCTTTTTGCCTGTCCTGTGATTACAGGAACACTGGGTAGCTTTTTCTTTGCTGTGGGAATCGTACTGTACGCAGTCATTGGTTATTTTGTCCACTCCTGGAGGCTGCTTGCTCTTTTGGCTAATCTCCTGGCAGTGCTGGTGTTTTTCCTCTCATTGTAAGTTCTTTTTTCCTTATATCTATTTTTATATGTCTTGTCGTAAATACAAAGGGTTACATGGTAAACTATACAAACTTAGAACTGAAAACTGTTTTTAATAACAGTAATTTTCACAGTGAAGTTATGTTTTAATCTCTAAATTATGGAATTATGTTAATGGTTGTTATCACTAATTTCAGAGTACTCAGGATATTTCTGGGGGAGTTGGGCATATTTGGCTTATTGAGATTTATTTTGCATGTCCACTAATACCATTAATTACTTTACCAAAGTAAATGTGTTACTACAAAAACATCCTGGATTCATTTTACAAATGATTTCCCATAATGATTTATACATATTTCTAAACCAATACAATGGTTAAATAACCATCTACAGTTTTGCTGACCTTTTCCTTCGTTAATGAACATAACTTCTTGACTTTAGATTCATCCCAGAATCCCCACGCTGGCTATACTCACAAGGCCGACTCAGTGAAGCAGAAAATGTCTTCTTCTTGATCAGCAAATGGAACAGAAACTTGAAGTGCTCGATTTCTTTAACACCCCCACCAAAGAGTAAGAAGGAGCATAAAGCCAGCGCTCTGGACCTGTTCTACCACAGGGTTCTGCTCCAGCGTACACTTATCATGATGTATACATGGTGAGTAAAGTTTCATTAGGAATAACAACACCCAAGAATCAAAGGGGAGCTGCAGCACTATTGTTATATTTTGGGGTTTTGAAAGAATCGGTATCGATGAGTACATTTCAAACCACAATGAAATTAAAATGCACACAGTAACCTGTGAAACATCCAATTGGCATCACAAAATAGACACAATTTCCAGGTATGCGCAGCCCCATGTTCTGTTATTCAGAACGAGGCAACAGAAGTTCCAATGAGGTGAAGGACCCTATGACTAGTGAGCAGGAAGGGCCACTTCAGATTGCAGTAACCAGAGAAAATAATGCTTAAGGTTAAGGTCTACGTGCACCCACAAACAGAATCTTGATTGTATTGTCTCTAAGTAGCTGCTCAATATGGTAAGATTTATATTGCATATATACTGCAGGTAGTAGTTGGTGTTTGAACTAAAACTAATTTCAGAAGCCAACATAACAAGCTGCCCATTATACATTATTATACATTAGGAACAAGTAATAGGTTTATTCCATGCTGAAAAGAGAAGAAAGAAAACACAATGTTTCAGCCTTGGAGCCTTCTTCAGGTGTGAGAAAGACAGGGCAGTAAGCAAAGGTAATGTAGGGGAGATCAAAAGCTGGGAGAGAGGAGGAGTGAGAGGCAGGAGCAGGGGACAGAAAGAGAAACATTATATGTAAGTCTTCTTATCTAAAAGTTTCAAATTTATCTTAAACATCTCATTATAAAACAGTGAATTGGTGATTAGGGGTGTTATTTTATATGTCTTTAATCATTCAGTCAATGCAGTAGCCTGTATGTCAGTTGGTGACCTTCAGTAGATCACTTTTATAGGAATGTTTCAGGTCCTACAAAATTCCAAAATAATAAAAAAACACCTTTATTAAAATAGTAATCTAAATTATTGATTTTCTGTATTTTCCTCAAGAAATGAAAAATAATTAAATTTCATAGTTTTTGAGAACATGCAACATTAATCCATTAACATGTTGTAGTTTACCTGGCCTTAATGAGGGTATTTCACAAAATACCCCTATACTGTCAATGCAGTTAAATTAAAAATGAACACTTTTGTAATATAAATAGTCAATTGCTACAAAAATACCCTCAATTCCTGTACATCCTCCTTATAATATTATTAAATGTAAGGATGAAAGTAATATATTGAAAAATGTACACAGGTACAGTGCACTTTAACATTTAAAAGCTTAGTAAAAGATACTGATTCAAATATTCAGTAAAATGTAATTCTTCATTTAACTCTGGGAAAGACTGTAGCGGTTACACTTAAAACTGTAACACTTGAATCTATTGACAATTATGACCATATGTATTATGTTTATCTTTGATTTTGACTGATAGCTGCCCTTGTCATCTTTTGTATCAGGTTTGTGTGCAGTCTTGTGTACTATGGTCTTACGCTGAATGTTGGGAACATGGATGGAAATATTTATGTCAATTTGGGCCTTTCAGGAGTTGCAGAGCTACCATCTTATCCAGTCTGTTTGTACTTAATAAGCCGCAAATGGTGAGTTATGTTTAGTTAAACAAATGAGAATATTTCTACCCTAATTCAATGTGTAGGTGAACATTTTAAGCAGTTAGAGATCTGACATAATGTTTTCGAAGACCTCACTCAATTAACTTCTTTAAAGTGATTTTAAGAGAAGGTCAGGGTTTAATAGAGCTGTGTTTTTCGTTTTAAACCTGTTGTCCTACTAATGGTTTAAACATCTGTGGTCAAAACAGACTTTAGCAAGAATCTTTTGAAAAGGTTGACAACACTTGCAGATCTGCAAAGTTAAAGAGATACAGTACAACCCATTGTAGGTAATTGTGAATGTCTTAAATGGCTGTTCTGGGCAGGTTAATTTAGACGATCAAAATAGTTGCATGAGATGAAGATAGATAATTAAAGGCAGTTTTTGTAAATTGTAACTCGACCATTATATAATAACTGTGATTATAATTAATGTATTGTATGTAATATTTATTAATACACAACAGTTTCAAATACTCTTAACCATGACTAACAAATTACTAAGTTTCTGAATTACGGTTAACTACATTAAATCAATTAAATTAATTAAATTTAGCAAAGTTCTGTTCCTGAGAATGAAACTCATTCCTGTTTAGCTTAATTTTTTGTCATAAAAGTTTTTGTTTGTATTTTCATGTAAATCATTGTTGCTATAGTTTTCAAAACATTTGCTTTACTGCGTTATCATTTAGGTCTGGACGCCGAAAGTCTTTGGCAGGCTTTCTTCTCTTGGGAGGGCTTGCATGTCTCATCATCGCATACGTGCCAGAAAAACAAGGTATAAAGTCTTATATCCTGAGACACAGCGAGCCTTCGAGAATGAATTAATAATGGGTCATTTCTTTTAAAGTTTGTAAGACCTTCCCTTTTCATTATTCACTCTTGACCTTGCGATGCGCTAGACTTCTGATTTTAAAACATTGACTTCTTGACAGAAACTGGCCTGTTTGCAGTGGTGAACAAACTGACGCTCTCTTTGTTTGGAAAGATGGTTATCAGCTCTGCCTTCAATATAGTCTACATCTATTCATCAGAGCTCTATCCAACGGTGGTCAGGTAAAAGGCTGATTAGTTAATTACGTTTTCACATTTTACAGTGTTGCCTGTTTCAGGTGCAGGATATGAGACATTCTTTCTATCACTTGGTACCTACAGTCAGGTACTGACCTTGAATTAAGGAAAACAGACATGTTTATTAACATGGTGGACCTCATCTACTGTACACACAGGCAAGAGTTTGCTCTACACAGTCTGCTTTCTTTTATTATCGTGAAACTTTCAATATGAACAGCAACAGCTGTTTAATAGTGTTTTAAGAGCTGCTATCCTGTCCAGGTATGTTTATAAAAACAGTAGTACAGTTATTTATTGCAACTAAGCATCTACATGTGGAAAGAAATCAATTTTAGCTTTCCAGAAGTGACAGCATTAAAAAAAATAACATCATAGTTTTTTGTTTTTGTTTCGGTAGAAGAGGTTTGCATTGCTTTCAGGACTGTCTTTATCCCATGTTTGTACAAAATAGATAAATAGTGGAACATGCCTTACATTTGTATTTGGTTTAAATCTGTATTCACTGTCCGGTGTACATAGAAAACCTTTGATTAATGTTTTTATGTTAATGCTGCATATTGCTGTACACTCAGTTTTTTCAGTTCAAATATACTTGGTGCATTATTTTTTCATCATGTGTACCTGACAGATCCATAGCTCCATAAATATTGCACATATAAAATAATATTTGTATGATGTTTCCTTCCACTAGAGGGTGACAAAAGCCTGTTGTTAAGACTGTTTTAAGTAATTTCTGGCTTTGAAGAGCAGCTTTGTTTTGCGGTTGTTTGCAAGAAACTTTATTATAACTTTGTGAGGAAGTATTAGTGAACATGTTAGACTGAAATGTATTTTATTTATAATATTTATGTATATATTTACACATCATAGTATGGCAGACAAAGCCATTTCTGGGATAAACTGATGTATTCCAGCTGTGAATCTGAGAATGTTTAATTAATCCATAAATCATTAATCCACCATGGTAGCAGTTACATTTTTACCTTTCTTTCATGATTCATCTAAGGAAGCTTTTAAAAACGTAATAGATGTAAAATGTCATTGTTGTTCCAACAATTCAGAAACAATTGCTGCCGTTTCTAAGTAGTTTAGAATATTGCAGTCAACCCATTGCTTAAGGGCTTTATTCCCATTATAAAAAAGGATGAATTTCAAGACAAAACATGAAATGTTATTTTGCTAAACAAATATCTAACAATAATGATTACTGTATTCATTCTATTCAAAATCCCTTGTACCTCATATACTTTCGCAGATAGTTCTAGCTGAACTGTAGTTTCTCCATGCTGATGTTGAGTGATCTGTTTCAGGAATATTGGAATGGGAGTATGTTCAACAGCCTCTAGAGTGGGGGGAATCTTGGCTCCTTTTATTCCTTCCCTGGTCAGTAAGTGTTGTGACTTAACATTTGTTTAATGTGCTTTGATGTAAAGTAATAAAGTATTCAAAGTAAAAAAAAAGCCGAATAGTTAATGTTATTTGCTTCACTCATATCTCCCGTATTGGTGTACTCAATGTCCTTACATTTTGGAATCACATGAAGTTTCTTTTAGGACGTTCTACATACAGTAAATTGCATAAAGCGCAACTGCATTTCTTGTAAACCTGGTTTCTTCCAGGAATCAATACAGTGGGCTCTGCCATTCTTTGTATTTGGAGCTGCTGGTTTATCAGCAGGGCTGCTGAGCCTGTTGCTGCCAGAAACCCTGCAGAAGAGACTGCCAGAGACGATCTCTGACCTAGGGGAGAGGTGCAATGGTGTTTATTACCGGAGAATCAAGGATGAAGCATCTCTACCACTGCAAACACTTGGCAGTGAATTGGTAAATACCGTTTTGTTTTTCCAGGAAACATAAATATGCATGTACAATATTTTGCTGTTAAGTTCCAAAGCTGGTAACATTTGATCAAGACTGTAAGAGACTGGCCATACCTAATATTGCAGAAAGTAATGTCGTTTTTGGATCTTGATCCAATTACAAAAAGGATCCATTTGATGTTGATATTCTAACAACAGATGACAGATGGTTGATTTTATGTTTTATAATCATCTCAATAGAGATGGTTTTGTCTTCAGTGTAGTTTGTTGAATGACTTTTCTCTTTTCTGAACGCAAAACATTTGTGTGGAGAATATAAAGAACTAACAAGGTTTGATTTTAAAAAAATGTGTGTGCATTGTTAAGTTTCCAGAGTTGTGCTTTTTCACGACAAAATGTATACCAAAGAGCCCTGGAGGACTGACATAGCAGCTGTGGAAGTTAAGAGGTGCAAATATTGTCTTGTAGGGACTAGTAATAGACACAATTTGACACCAGACCAATACTAAACGTCTGGTTTTCCTCTGACTGTTCCTGACAACCTTTTCCACATCTGACATAGAATGTAAATTTACTGGATTCCCATAACCACTAAAGGAAAGTATAACAAATACTTTTTTTTCTAAATGTCGAGCATGCCATTATAATGGAACTGTGTGATTGATTCAGTACATGTTGTATTTGCTGTGTTTATTTTGGAATAACTACTATTATGAAGTGAATCAAAAAAAAATTACGTCTTGGACAGTCTATTTTATGAAGAAGAATAGCATGGAAGATATAAATGTGAAGAAGAGAATGTCATTTGACAATATTTACAAGATTATATTTAAAGCAGCTCACTAATATAATCTAGTCTGTTTTTTTCTTTGTAATGCCCATGTTCTGAGAAGAAATGCAAAAACCTGAAATTGATTATTCAAAATTAATAAGTGGCTAAATTATGTAACAATAAATGCAGTTCCTCTGGAGAGTACTTTAGATGGTTACTAGCCTTGAACACAAGGTCCTGCAAGACAAAAAAGCACAGAGATGTCATATTTAAGCAGAAAACTTAAGTGATTTTTATTTAGAAATCTTTTGCTTTGTGATGCTATCTTGTAAAAACAAAATATTAGACAATATTTGTCTTTTCAGTTTTGGTTTTGTTCCAGAAAATCTAGTTAGCTGAGTTGCAATTAGCTGGAAACTGGAATGCTGTGAGTATCCAATATTATTTCAGCTTTTCTGGTCTAATGTCTGTTCACAGGCAGCCCACAGTGAGGGGCACGAGGAGACAGATGAGGATGAGTTTGTTAATCCAACTGAACAAACACGGATGATCACATGAGTGGATTGGTCTGGAACTTGTCATCCCTGGATCCAGTGTGTTTGCAGACCTACAGTACAACATATAACCTCAAGCTGAAGACAAAGAGCACATAGGCTGCAGAAAAAAACTCTCAGCCTTCCTCTTAGAATAGCTAATCACAAGATTTTTTTAAGGTTGTGGTACAGTATGTGGCCTCATTTTATTTTTCCACCACTTTAAAGAACTACTGTATTTCAGCTTGCTCTTATTTAATTTAGTAGGATATTGGTTAAATGAACATAGGACTGAGAGCTCATGTACAGTATAAGGAAATAAGGAAAAAATACAAGTAATATAGAATAGTATTCTTACAATTCTATAAAAAGTACTACTTACAAAAAATAGTACTTACAAAATCAGGAAAAAACATATCTGAAGGTTGAACTGTATCTAAGTGTTCAATTGTTTCGTTCTAAAGTGTACTGCATAGTTTGATTTAACCATTACAGTACTTGTTAAATTTGAGTAAAAACATTTATATTATTATTATATTGAGACATTAAAATTATTTATGATACTTGCAAAAATACCGAACTGCTGCATTGTGATATTTTCTTTCCAAAATTTTGTTTTGAATTTCTAATATTTTTGTTCTTTTTATTCTCTTTAAAGTACAAATGAATATAATTCAGTTTCCCAGTCAAATAAATGTATTGGGGTATTTAGTTAAAATTGTTTATAAATGTATCAGTTTATTGACTTCATTAATGGGATAATGCTTCTACTAACAAGAATTATATAAATAATCTACCCAACACCTTTATCAAAATGACTAACATTCAATTGAAAGTTATAAAACTCAAATACTGTACATATATTAATTAATGTCATGCACCAGAGCGGTATACTATGGCTACTATAATGCATTCAGATAAGTAAAACAGTTTCTGATTTTGATCAGTAATGTTTTACAAATATCCATCAATCTACCACATTTGTAGTGAACTTTTTTTTTGCTGAAGCTCAGTTCTGACATAAACAATGAGCATCCTGACCAGCAAAAAAAGTTACTGTGATCAAAATGTTAGAGCATTAGAGCAAATATTTAATGTTTCTCACATTAAATTAAAGCTTGATCATATTGAAGAAAACAACAGCCTTTACATATCTAAGTCTATACCAACTACATAGAAAGTTCACCAACTTTGACATCATTACTGTTTTTATGCAATGATACAAAGGGTAGTTCAAATATGATTCTCAGTAGTAAGACCGGAAAGTTAAGATGCAAAGTGCTTCATCTTGAATGTCAGGATTTGTTTCCTGTAGATAAGATCGATTCATCATGGGCTCAGTCAGTGAAGGCTGTTCGTTCAGAGCAACTGTCGAGCACAACACTCCAGAAATGGCTGTTGGTCCGCTTTTGACTGCACAGCAGTGCACAGCACAGCAGTGGGCTTGGTTTGGCTTGGGTGTCGCTGGATAGGCAGTACAACAGTGACGCTGTTCAGTACCTGTGAGATTGTAGGGTTGAAAACGAGAACTGTTCCGGTGTTTTATTGATACAGAGCTACCACTCCAGGCACTGTTGAACTCGCAGGGTAATGAAACAGAAACAGTTAGCTTCTGTGCATTTCAGAAGAAAGTTTTTGTAGTCTCTGTACCATACAGTAGGTATTATAAGCACCATAGCTGCGATTCAAATAGATTTAACATTTATCGCTTCCAAATATAAGGAAGGAAGTGAATGGAAAAAAAAACCTATGCAAATCTGGAATATTAACACAAAAAGTAAGGAAATAGTTCTGGAAACGTAAATATCTAAATTGATTGCAGAGACTTATTGTAGATCTAGATCCAGTGACTGCTTGGCAGTTACAAGGAGATTCATATAAAACAGCTCCTGTCACCAGAAGGATGAAAAGTGAATGTTTGTTTAACTTCACAGTTGTTTCAGGGAAAATAAACTGTGAATTATACACACTTCTAGTTTTCATATATACAGTAAGACAGGACTGAAATTATTAAGAACGTAAGAATGGTTGCAGATGAGGGAGGCCATCAGCCCATCTTGACTGTGCGCTAATATGAATTGTTCTGAGGATCTCTTCTGACTGCTTTTTTAAAGAAGCCAAGATATCATGTTTGACAACAATGGCTGAGTAGCCTATTCTGAACTTCCATAACTTCTCCTTAGAACGTCTTGCTTGTGTTTCAAGGTTGATTCTGACTATTGCCAGTGCTTTTGAATGCTTGAATCGGGTCTCTTTGTAAGAGTTCATTGCTCAGTACTTTTATTCCTCAAAGCACAGAACCATACAGTATACCTGTACCTGATTCCAGAGTCATATCAATTTTGTAATTAACCAAAACGGAGCACAAAATGTGAAATTAGGTCTTACTACTGCATTCTTTAATTTTAAGTACATTTTACAGTACATTGTACAGTTTTAATCACATTTTGAAACAATTTGTCTTTTTCATTGTCCCCCCAGATTTTCTAAAAGATAGAAATAGTGTCAATATAATCTTCTGAGTCAACATCTAAGTGTTTTCAATAGATTGCTCACTTTTGAATTGTCTCTAAATTTTCCTGTCTTTTCCCGCAAATCTACCTATTTTGGTATCATCTGTGACCATGATTTATTGATTAATTTTGCCAGAATTGAGAACAGTGATATAAATTAAGAATAACTGTGATCCCTATACAGATTCATGTGAATTAAGACCAAAGTACAACATTTGCAACTATGTTATTTTACCAATAACTAATATAAATTAGAATAATTTAAAATCTGTAGCATATTCCCAGATGTACAGGGACTGGCCACAGTTAGAACGCCAGTATTAATAAGGGAAGGATATTTTTCTGAGACTGAAGCCTATACAAGCAGTCACACAGATACATTATTGCTTCATGTGAGTTAATACGTTCCTGCTGGAAATGGGGGCGTAATCAATTCAGTGGCTTTGAGTACAAATTTAGAAAAAAAAATCCTCTGGTCAGAAGTCAATGGCATCGACTGTGTCAGATCACATTACTGTGCTCAACCGCTGATAGTTTCCTGTTTTTCCTGCTTCAGAAAAGTAAGCCAACTGTTAAGTTCATTGAACTGTTCTGCATGCTATAAAATGGAAATAGTCAGGCTTATACATCAGCCTTCTTAAAAAGTGTACTAAATGCATAGGGGCTGATTCACACAAGGCTGTAGTGTGATAGGACATGTATAAGCTCAAGGGGAAACGGCATACACACAAACCACAGACTGAAGTGTTTCCAAGCCCTACATGCATGTGCATGTTCTAAAAACAAATTTCATTTAAATGTTATGGCTCTGCTAATTGCACTGCAAGGCATTCAAATGATGTTGAAGGACAAAGTAACCAGAGTCATGATATGCGCTTGGTATTCGCAAACACTCTGTAGATGGAGTGCCTAATTTACACATACATTTGTACAGATGATAAACAGGTAGAAGGGGCTGAGATCCTTCTTATAAAAAGGAAAAAGAAACGTCCACATCCTGAATGCTCAAAATACATGGATATTTGTTGAATAAGAAAAATCTTGCTATATTGCCAAGTCTGCATCAAACTTTAAGTTAGCACAAGCACTTTAAATTACAGCATAATGACACAAAAACATCTGGATTACATTTTGCAGGGCAGCGTAGTGTTCACATTTATTTAACAGTTCATTAGTTAAATTGTACTTTTCTGTGTTATTTTATCCTCTGTGCATTGGTAGTCACCATTATTTTACTGTAAGACTGTGAAATGCCAGTATTTTAATCATTGCAGATCTATTAATACATATTATGTGTTTGCATTAAACTAACCTAAAGTAACACTTTAAGCACCCTAAACAGTAAGTCATGATTATTCTAAAAATAAACCTTTAATGGTATTTATTGGGAGTTTACAGTTGTTGACAACACAGTCAGATGTTTTAGGCTAGCTGCTCTTTATGATCAATTAGACTAAATCCCAAATCATTGTGAGTCACTCTAAGTGACTGTTGTGGACTGAACAGCGCAGAGGTTGCTATGATAAAATGTTCCCCTGGGTCCAAATGCTAGCTTAATTTGTTATCTGTTTCCATTTATGTGTTTTTGCTGTACCCATGACTTGACCTATAAAAGGAGTTTTTTCCCCATCTTTCTGTCTAAATGCTGTTTTTCCCCATTACTTCAAAAATTCAAAATACAATGTATCATAATGTTGGACTGTAAAACAGCAGATGTTTCCTCAATAAATGTTAATTAAATTTAAAATGGTTATATTCTCATTAAATATGACTTAAGACAAATAATAAACTGATGAATAAACTCTAGCTTTTTGACAGAGTACTGGACAAAAGTTATTCACTATAATTCCACCAGGATGTAAATTGGGTGCACTTTGGAAGTGATAAGTTATAAATGTGCTGTACTGTATATGTACGTGGTTAAGTATAGTTTGCCTAAGCTGAATACTGTATATACAGTATGGTATGTAGTCTGGTATATTCAGCATATGACTATCATTCCATTACTATATATTTTAAATTATTGCTTAGTTAAGAACAACACGTTCTTTGTTTAATGTAATTTTAACGTAACATCACACATGCCATTTAGTTAAGAAACCAAGAAAGATAAATACTTTAAGTTTGGAGTTACCTATGTTTTTAGTTTTCATTTCTAATTGTAATAACAAACACCATGAATAGAATATGAGAGACATGCTTTCTAACTGTGCCATACACATTTTTGCTCACAGTCTTGTACGGATTTCATAAATGTAAAGAGCTGATGTTGATAGAATAGGACTTAAGTGTTTCTAATCGGGTCTAAAGCACAGTATTACTGTTGATTTGTTACCATTAGTTCTCACCTCCACTGAAATCATGGTCCCACAGTAGTGAGTTTACTGCCAATCCAGGTCTTCTGGTCTGCTGTTGGTCTTCAGTTTTCCTGTTTGATGCATTCGGGACCCTTTTAAATTTGAACATATTAGTTTTATTATTATTCTCTGTCAGCCTATTGCATCATTTGTTTGTTTGTTTGTTTGTTTGTTTGTTTGTTTGTTTGTTTGTTTGTTTGTTTTGGTGTGAACAGGTACTATATACTGTACGCCAGAACATCCCATGGGTGTAGTCCCACCATGGTTTGGTTCACACCACACCTACTGCAGGTGTCCTGTTTTCCCATGTACATAATGTAACCTGCACGTTTGCTGTATATTTAGAGACATTCGGTGTTGACTAGATTATCGGAATATAAAGTGGTTTATGATATTTACATTCTGCTTAATGAGCTTATCTGGTTAAGTCTGTTGGCTACAATGATTTCCTTTTATGATGCTATAATCTGGGTTTTGCTATAATCAGTCTCTGCTCCTGTGTGTGTGATCACAGATTTGTGGGTTTTGTAAGTCTAACTAGATATTGTACTGACTATGCATTCGTATATTTTCTATATTATAGTTTTACAAGTTATCAGTATCCCCTTTCCCTGACCTTTCTGTTTGACTCTGTTCATCTGCCTCTGCTGCTCTGTCGCTCAAGTGGAGTTAAAGCTCCAGTAGCTGTTTTTGTAGGTCAGGTCAAAAGTTGTGAAACCTCAGATTCCAACAGATCTTGGCAGGTGTTTATTTTCTGCCTTTAGGCATCAGTTTGAATAATATACTGGCTTTGCTGTAAAGAATTTTTATCTCGTTCACATTCCAGTTTACAATATTAAAAATATGTAAAGTGAAGGAACCTGTTCTCTTGATTGTTGCATTTTGCATGTTATCGTCTTTCTAGGTGACAGAGCCTTTGGTGTTGAAATGTTAGCTGATGCCACTGTGAAAGTTGTATCTGCAGGTATAAAGAGGGCCAAAGGTCAAACAGAACAGGTGAGATAATAGTCTCCGTAAAATGTACTGTACCTCAAGTTAATGTTTCAGATTTCCACATAACTATGGTAGTATTCATAAAGCTAATCAATGTTAGAGAAAGTTTATTCACGTTCAATACCTTCAGAATGTATTATAGTTTATTTACTCTCAAACACCTTTCTATTCTCTGTATTTATTGTGCTAAGTATTTTTTATTATGTATTTATATATTATATGGAACCAATAGCATACATAAGCATGACGTACCTGTATATGTTAGGAAAATTGCATTGTATTTAAAGTGATTTTAGTAACTGGTTGCTAATGTTCTGTGTTGTTTTAATGGGTGATAGTTTGATAGTATGATTTGGAGGACTAAGGGACCATGAGAACACATTCATTCCTAAAGTCAATGGTGTTTAATCAATAACGTAATGTTCAATTCCCTTTTTTTGGCTTGGTGTTAAACGCATTGCCACATTGAAGCTTGTGGTGAGTGAGATACACATCTGTGAGAAGCAAGATTATTTACCCAGAACAAAGCAACAAGAATCACACAGAACTACAGTAAGCACATAAGTGAACCAAAATACAAGCAGAGTGTGAAATGACAGGTTTTACAGAGGAAGACTTGGACAACTTCCTACAAAACCAGGTAAATAATCTGAAGTCTTTTTTGGAAAAAAATATTTTAAAATGATTTAATGTTCTCTTTCCCTCTCTTGTGTCTCTTTTGGTTAAAACATTACTACTTTATTTATACAGTTAATGCAGTATAATATATAATATAATATAATAAATTGGCTCAGGGTGTGGTAAGATTGTAATCTTAATAAATTACATAAAATTATATTATCAGAAAGACTATTTTATCAGGTTTCTTTCTAAAATGATTAGGATTGTAGCTGCTCAATATACAACAATGTGTAAATGTGCTGCATGATGTGTACAGTATTTATGTATTTCATTGATTCTGCAAGAGTGACCAGTATTGTACTAGAGGATTGCAATGTGGTGATCAGTATTTTATTATCCAATAGTTGATTTGGTATCAATCAGGAAATATTTGCATATATGCATTACAATGATATTTAATGAAGAATTAAATATAAGGTGTGTCATATTGCAAGGCAAGTTCCAGATTATTTACCCAATCCCAATTACCAAATTTTATATTAAGCAAATACTACCCAATTACCCAGTCTATTTTAACCTAATCCTTTAATTAGTCTCAACTTTCCTTTAATTTTATTTGAGCAATAAAAAACATTATTTTGAACACCAATTAAGGATATGACTTTATGAAATATAAAATTATCTAAAACAGGTAACAGTATTTTTTGTATGGCTAGATGTTGCATTTATCACTCTAATACTAAACCTTTATTTTATACACAGTAGGGTCTTTCATGCCAATACATCAGTACAGATGTAAACAATCAACACCTCATAAAAAAAACATGTTGAAAAAAGAACAAAATATAAAAATAAGTATGAGCTAGCCTTCGAAGATAAATAATGTACTGTATATTCCTTGTATAAATGTAATTTATCGTTTAAGAAAAGAAGAAGGTGATTGATGGAACAGCACTTCAGAAACTTAAAAATAACAAATGTTTGTCTTTTTCTTAACCCAGAGTTAGAGTGGTCATGTGGAAACTGTGGTAATGGAAATTGTATTACAACTGCATGTAAACTGAAATAAAATTAATTAAATTCAGTTTTTGACTTAAACTTTGAATATCATAAATACCTTATTCAACATGTTGATCAAAAGTCATTTATCGTAATTCTAAACTTCATTTAAAGGTACATGTAATGCACACTCACCCTAGCTTTTTTGATAACCTACAGTATAACATTTGTTCTGCTTATTTTCCTTTCAAGCTGAAAAATAACGGTTCAGTCATTAAGCCCCTGCTCTGTCTCGTGAATGACATTCTTATTGTATCATAACATTGGTTTTGTTACATTACAACAAAACAAATCATATTCTCAACTCTGCTTTTTTTTTGCTGGTAGTCAGTACGTCCAGTTAAAAACTTTCTGATAAAATGATTTACGTTTTTTAGTTTGCATTGCTGTTGTATGTCACACCGTATTGTATGAGTAAACTTTATCAATGTAATTGTGGGCTGAGGAGGTGGCTGTGTGATAGGTTTTGGGCCGAGAGGCAAGAATGGCAAAGAATAATGTTCCTGGAGAGTTTGCTTTTGGCCGACAAACTGAGAACTTGCCAGCAGCTCTGGCACTTTCCCAGCAGAGGGAATGGTAGGTTTCCTGTGGCCTTGTGGCTCTGAATGCCCCTTTCTGCAGGTGGATCTCCGACACCGTCAGGTGTCCAAGACAGTGGACGAGGTTCAGCAGATCATCAAGGACCTGACCTCAGAGGTGAGCACCAAGGATGGCCGATTTCAGAGCATCTCCAACTCTGGTGTCCACAATGATAATATAAAGGTACATTTTATATATCCTTTTTGGTACATCTGTATAACTTGTTTACCATGTTACCTGAGAAGCAGGGTAGTGCCTCAAAGGTTGGACCCAAATACTAGCCACAGATTAATAAAGGACATTCGTAATGACTGTAATGTATTACTGGAAGAAAATAAGGTAGAAGAAATTCAAATTAATATTATTGTATGTGCCTACATTAGTATTTTACAATTAAGAAGTCTGGCTTATACCAATTCTGCCGTAAATGTATTTTGTTGCATTGCTGTAATAGGAGTAAAGAGGTTGTCACAATTACAGGCACCATCAACAGCCTTAACTAGATCTAAATCCAGCACATTCGTATTGACAGCCCTGTAATTAGAGTGTGCAGTTGCAAAGCTCATGCCAGGCACTCTCTGGATCTTTTATTTGCTTTCAGTCTCCAATTTCAGAGTTTTGCCATTTTCGGATGTGGTTTCTTCCTCTCCCTAGTTTTAATTCCAGAACAGTCCCTTCAACACCCCTCCATAGAGGTTTTCTTAAACTGCCAGCATGCCTGTCTTCTTTGTGTTTTTCTTTCTTGGGATTCCTGCTGAAAAGAATTGTTTTTTGTGAAAATCAAATGGAGACCATATTGTCTTTGAAACCCAAATTATCATGTACGTTAAAATGGCCAGTGTTTATTAGAAGTTCTATAATAACTGCATACTGTAGAATGTCAATTTTGGGGCACAAGTATCTCCAAAGGGGTTATGTTTAAGGTAGTAAGATGTACAGAATTTCAACACGTAACGGTAGCTGTAGCTTTACTAAAAATGCTGGTTTAAAAACCCTGTTTACTCAATACTGTCCTCTTCTCTGACTCTCTGACTTCACCATGCTTGCCAGGATCAACCTGCTCTAATGGCCAAATGGGCAGCTCTTCTGAGGGGAAAATGTGCATTCAACCCAGCCATCCAGGTAGTGTCTCGTGTCTAAATCAAACCATTTCACTGGAATTTCTGACTGTAGAGAAATACCTGTACATTTCCCGTGAATCTGTCCTGACATTAATGATATTAATATAATTAATCATTGGTACTGTTTTCTGGAATTGAAACACTGTGTACACTTGGAAGGCCACACAGTTTCTGTCCCACTGATTGCTGTATGAAGCCTTTTAGCTCTAAGTTCATTTTTACTTTTAAGCACTTGCTGTTTTGCATTTCTTTTTGTTGAAAGGTGTACACTGTCAAGTATAATCTCATACGCTGTATATTGTACATGTGCGGCTGAGCTGAATTGTATTAATAGAATCTCCAGTATTATAAATATTAGAATGACGTGTGTCAAAAAGTGTGTTTTGCTTAACAATATATTTTCAGTCTCTGTTGTTTTTGAAATGCCGAAGCAGACTTGCTCTCGAACGGCGTGTGCACTTTCTCAAGCGGTGCTGCTCCTGCAGGTCCTCACGCCCGCCCTGTTCCTAATCTCGGTGCCGGTCAGGGGCCTGTGTGGGTACAAGGAGCGCAGGGCCAGGCAGTGGCGGTACTACACCCTGAGCGGCTCCAGGCTGCTTTCTCCAGTGCGTGAGCCCGAGAAGCTGCACCAGTGGCTGGAGCTGGAGAACTTCTGCAGCCCCTCGCAGGAGTGGCACGACTCCAGAGTGGCCATTGAAGGGGACATTGTGCCTGCCAAAGTGGTGAACCTCTTCAAGGAGCTCCTGGAAGCCGCCATCCAGAGCTGTAATCTTGCCAGTGAGTCATCTTTCTTTCCACCTTGCCCAGACGTCTGGATCTGTAACTCTGACACCCCCCTGTCAGTAAAACCCTGTTCCAGCACTCTTTCTGTTTTAGGGGTATACATACACTATGACTGAGGCAATTTGACATTTTGTCTACAGTAAAATATTCAGGGAATAGGTAATCTTCGGTTGTGACATTTAAACACGCACCATCGAGGGCTTTATACTATCCCAAACATTTAAAGTTTGGTTAAAGATCTTCTCTTTTTCCGTTCTTATTTGCATACATAATCATTTTAAAACTTCTAGTTAATTAACATGGATGAAAGACAATATTAAAAATGAAGAAAAGACTACATTCCTGGTCTGTATGTTTGCAGTTTGCTTATGACTCTGCTTATGACTGAAATAATCAACCATAAACTGTTCCATAAAGGTGTCCTAAACATCCTGAGGTGTACTGGTTTGTTTGTTTTTATATCTGCCTTGATTGTCATCATATCAGTAAGATTTTTTATAATTGATTTTTTTCTTTCTGGATGAGGACCACTTGGTTTTACAGTACATATTCTTAGAAAAGGATAAAACGTTATAACTTTTTATAATATTAGAACAAGCACGTTACAACCACAACCTGTAAGTTACCAAGTTAAAGACTTTGATGCATAAAATATTTTTATGAAGAAGGTGGAAGGTTGTGTACTTTTGTCTGACTGAGCAATCTTTCTTTTATAAAATATAGCTCAGTCAGTTTAGTGTGTAACATGCTGTAATACAAAGTTTAAAACAGTATACAACGTAAATTCTGTAATTGGAAAAAGATTGTCCCTCAGCATAGACCGGGATTCAAAGCCAGGCGGTTTCTGGCGACAGCCCAAATTGTCACGGACGTCCAAAGGGACCAACCGTGGGGAGCAGGAGAGCGGAAAAAGACCCATATGCGTAGCGGCGAGACGGGAAAAAGGCCCGGGCTCATTAGTGCAAAGAGTTCAGGAATGCCGTATAGAAACCTATGCCCTCAGGGAGCAGGACATCCGAACGTCAATGCTGAGCGAGGACAGAGTGCAAGACCCGGAAATATATAGCCCAAGGGAAAGAGAGGGACCAGAAGGACAGCAGACCGGAAACTAGGGACAGGACAGAGAAGGAGCGCCCTCTGGCTGCAGAGGGTGTGACACAAATATCGCACATGAGACGTTCTCCACCTGGTATTTCAAATTATTAAAAAATATATTCACCCTATTAAAAAAAAACATGCGGTATTACACTGTACTTTTCCGTACATGTACTGCGATTTACTGCAGCATCTGTCGCGCATTTTGAATGGCTGGATCTGTACAAACCTAGGAAATATCTCTGAAAATGACCACCGGTCCGAATGCCATTTTGCCAATACATAAAATGAAAAAGCTGACTTATTTTTATCATATGATTGAAAGAGTTTTGATGGTGGTTTATCTTTTTATTAATAAATGTCCCTAATTAAGAAACATTTGTTTTTAAAATTTTATAACACATAACACCACTAGATGATGCTGTCTTACATTAGGCTGAAGATTCTTTGTAGTGTGGAACAAGTTCAGGTGCATTTTCACATTGTTTTGATCAAATATATTTGAAAATAAAATGAACCCCCACAAACTTTAAAAGAAGATAAACAAAAAATATGCAAAAAATGATGCAATATCCAAAGACAAAGTGGTAGGTTAGCTGGCTTCTGGGAAAATTGGCTTATTTTCTTTTTACTTTTACAAATTGAAGAAACAAATTATATCTATATTATTTTCTCCTCAATGATTGTGATTGAACGGATCAAAGTTTGCTCTATGACATTAAATACTGATTAATGCTCGCCAGATATGTTTATTAAAACCATGTCTTTTAATTTATATTAAAATGGTATCAACCACGTAGGCATTGATGTTTTTGTTTCAGTATTGGACTGATTTCTGGCATTAAATCATTGTCTTCACACCACAGTGGTAAAAACTGGTTCTGCTTTCTTTCCACAGGTAAAGTCACTATTTTAGAGACTGTTGGTGCTATGATACGTGTTGCCGTGGAAACATCTGAAGCGCAGGTAGAGGCGGAGCTTATTCCAACTGTGGAGCTCATGAACTGCTGGCCAAAAAAAGCTCGCTGGCCCAGATTTCTCAAACGCTGGCCCTCAAAGGAAAAAGCCAGATGCATCAAGGTGTAGTAAAATACTTCTGTATGCAATATTCATGTGGAATTCTTTTCAGCAGAAACAAGGTCAGATCTAGTTTTTTTTTAAAAAGAATCTCCAAAGCTCAGGGTAGATTACTTCTTTCCCTAAAGACTGTCAGTTTAAAAAAAGAAAATGAAGAAACAAGTTAATTCATACTGCTCATTCTGTCCCAGAATGGTGCCCTTAGACATGAAATATTGATCACAGTTCTAAGGCCACACAAAATTACATTTTTTGTGCCTTATATAAAGGAGAACACAGATTATGCACTCTTGCACTCTGGTTAGTTTTCTGACTAAATATTAAAATCATTTTGTGTAGGTTACATACTCGATGCTGTATACTATAGTACTGTCATGTCATTTTTATGCATCATATGACTTTCTGTTTTAAAATAAGGCACCGGCAGTGAAAAATGTGTTGCCCCCCCATAACAACCTTTGTATATAAATTGAAAAATTGACCATTAAAATGCTTTAGTAGCACATCTAATAAGCCATTTATTAAATAGGAAGTAAATTGCTGCTCTTCATATTTCTTTAGTCCCATTCCATTTCATTATGTTTTTGTTTTTTCTTGTACTTGTACTCTGACTAAAATCTGTTTGACAACTCTGAAAGGTGCTATTTATAACAGGGGTGAAAACAGATGGCTTAAGATTCATTTGTCTGTGCGTATAGCAGAAGAGGTCTCACTTGTCATGTAAGGTAGCATACTGAGATTGCAATGCTCTCTGATGATGGGATTCAGATGTTCAGATGTATATTTCAAATGTCAAAGTTGTACTAAATTGCTTCTTGATAAAATTCGTAGATACCTGAATTTATATCTTCAGTTTTACTGCTACTGCATCCAAAGACAGTAGTATATCTTAATCCTCTTCTTGTCTAGACTGTACTGTATAATTGATGTCTTCCAATAAAATATGAAGGTTAGTCTCAATTCTAATAAGCTGATAAATAGGGAGTATTGCAGACCTTGCACAGCTTGACGTGTTTTTTGAGAATATGAAACAGCTGCTTGAATTGAATAATCAAAGGTTTATTGTGATATAAAACTAGGTTCTGATTAATATGGACATAATTGTAGAAGGAAGCTTATTCACATCTTACTTAATTCAATGAGATGTAGCTTGATTCAAAATATTAACAACAAAAATTAAATCTGCTTTTTTAATTGCATATTGAAGAAGGAGGGAAGAATGGTTTGGAAGACAATAAGAACTCTTGATGAGTTATTATTAGTGAGTATATTAGCATACAGCTTCTGAGACACCTAGAAATGTCACTGAGAATGACATGAATAAAAGAAGATCAAAGCAGAAATGCATAGTCAATGAATGAACGACCTTTGTTGTGACATGCAATTATACGATGCAGATGTCTGGTATTATCAGCCTCAAACTGTTATTTTTGTTTTCCTTCAAAAGTCATCTCCCAACATAGGCATTGTCCTGCTGGGTGACATGCAGCAGCCTTAATGCACCAACATCCTCATTATACAGCAGACTAGGTGGAGAAGTTAAAAATGACTTCACACGTTCATCTAAGGGGGAACTTTAGGTAGTAAAAATTGCTCAAAACCTAAGGGGAACATTGCACCGGAGCTGACAGCTGATCTTATGAACAGTGCCACTAGATCTTTAAAGACCACGTGGTCAGGACCTCAGTTCACTGTTTCCCCTGCAGGAAACAGCAGCCTAGTCTTACCTAGAGGTCTCCCTGACCTGACCAGCAGGACTGTCTTTCTGCGGTCTCAGATCTTGCAGGATCAGGCTATGGTCCTGCAAGGTAACATTGCTGTACATAGATAAGATTTTTCTAAATGTTGTCTTTTTTTTCTGCTGATGAAAATTATTTTGTTTGGTTTAGAAGAAACATAAAGACAGTACTACAATTACCTTGGGCTCCTTTTTGCTTTTATTTTAATATTTTAAGAATGTATTTCAATAGTCATATATCATAGCTAGTCCTGTTGGGTAGTTCATGTTAATCTTTGGGAGTTGTGAAACATGGGAAGAAGGGTGAATGAGTGTTAGAAGAATAAGAGTTTCCCACCAATCAACAGTTTATATGTTATATATAAATTATATACAGTAGTACTTTGGAAAGGCATCAATGTGTATTGACTCACAAAGAACACAAGAACACAATTTACGTCTCTACTGCTAGAAGAGATATTTTATTCTAAAACATACAGTACCTCCATTAATATTCAAGAATGTGAGTTTAAACCCCCTTGCAAGGCCTCTTATGTGTAGGCTTAAAAAATGTGTAGGTTAAAAAATCTCTTAATCCTTGCTAGAACCTGTGGCTGGATGGCGATATACATATCTCCATATACATTTTGCCAAAAGAAGCATTGGTTTCAAAATAAACTCAGAAAAGTATTACAAGGGATTTGCTTCAGATACAAATATACTTAAGAAAGACATGGTTACAGTTAAAATTAGAAAGTACAATCCATAAAGGCAGAGATGTCACACGTTATTTATTTATGAAACACCCAAATGTATGCATATAATTAATGTCAATCGTGACTTCGGGTAGAGGGAAACATTACTTTAAGCATTGAAATCCTCATCACAGTATTTATCTAAATAAATTTTGTTCATGAAGACATGAATAACAGAGGTGCAGTGATCAGTTTGGCTGCCTCACAGCGCTGGGGTTCAGTTCTGGAGCTGGGGTGCTCTCTGCATGTTCTTGCATGTTTTTTTGGGTTTTCTCAAGGTGTTCCGGTTGCTGCCCCAGTTTGAGTATGAGCGTGTCTGTGCTGGTGTGTCCTCTGACAGACTGGTGTCCCAACCGGGGGGTATCCCACCTTGTGCCCATTGCTTACTGGGATGGGCTACAGCTGCCCCTCAACCCTGTATGGAATAAAGCAGTGAAAACATGTTGTATATGTTCAGTAGAACAGTGCATCCTGTATCAGACTGATTCTACATTGTGGCAAATAATCCCTTCTCTGGAGAGAAAAAATTCTCCTTTCTCTGCATTGACAACGTACTGTACCTACACCTACTATTCATACCCCTGAACACAGTAATTCTCAGCCCCATCCCAGAACAAACACACAGGAGCTCCAACATACTGTGAATGTAAAAATAACTAATTTTGTTTTCCAGTCTTTTGGATTTAACCTGATGGCCTCTTCGAACTACCACTGGCTCCTGTCCTTCTCCAGGGCAGAGCAGGTCCTGATGAGCAGCATTGACGAGGATGGCGGATGCAGGAGGAAGTGCTACCGGGTTGTCAGGCAGCTGAAAGAGGATGTTTGGTGCCCTGGAAGTAAACCTGTAATTACAGCGTATCATCTGCAGGTGAGAAACAGATTCTGGTAAGCATAACTCATATCAATAAATCCTCATAAAACATCAATCAACCTGTTGTCTGTGGAGACTGTTTTAGTGATACACAGTGAACTCTGATGATATGAATCTACATAATTAGCAAGCTACTCTAAATCTGTATCAGCCGCAGTATGAACTAATGACTTTAAACATAAACGATTCCTCAGAACTCAGTAGTCAGTGTTTCTATTTTGAAGCTTCTTATTTGTATTTATGTCAGTTGATAGCCAATTTAGCTCAAAGCCAGGAATAATATATCTGTGTTAACTTAAGATTTGGAGCACTGTATAGGTTGTGCATTCACTTTGCATTAGAAATAAGATCAATATTGTGGTGCCCAGAGGCTTTTGGAGTGCTTATGTCTTAAAGATACGACTGCAATGAATGGGCATGTCATCATGTAAGCCCTCTACCATGGATGCTGCTGGGATAGAACTGACAGGACAGTATATTTGTCCTGGTGTCTGTGGCTGTCATCCCCTGTTCATCTGTAGTACAGAGAGGGGCAGGCAGTAAGCAAGTGGGCACTTTGAGTGTGGGGGAGGCAGTGCCGTCTGCTTCCTGCCACGCTGCACGCTGCAATAATTAAATCATTATTCCCCCTTCGTGAGCAATGTGACTCACTGCCTGTCTCTGAGGTTAAAGTTTAATTGCTTCATGAAAAACTGACTGGATGTCCGAGCACTATGCTGGTGTCAAGGTGAGTGGAAGGCCATGGAGGACATCGGGTCCAAGTGGGAAGTTTCTTCCAGAATAAGTGGACAGGCCGAAGCCAGACCTTTCCATCTTGAAGGACCAGATTGGTAGATCGCACCAGGGAATCCTCCACTTGAGGACACAGAACCCAGGGCCGGGGGACCATGGCAGTGCCAACATGCCAGCCATGCCACAGAACAAGACACAAGAAGAAAAACAGCGCACCTCTTCAGGAAGGCGCAGAACCTCCAGACGGATGCGAGAATGAGCCAGGAAGTCTGTCCTCGGTGGCGTGCTCCAGCTTGCAGCTCCAGCTACCGCCGTTCCCCCTCGAGAGAGAAGAAGGACAAGTGGCCTCTGCTTCAGGCTGCTGCTGCACTTCTACTAGGATGTGGAAGTGGAAGAGAAGCCCCTTTTTCAGCAGCTCACCCCCACCTGCAGAGCTGCATATCCCCATACCATCCAGAGGGAACCCTCTGAATGCTGGGGAACCCCCATTTAGGCTAACCTGACTGTTCACACCGGACCATAGCTGCCTGCGACTGAAATGGCCCCAGCTGTCAGCTCCCACTTCCCGTCTGCAGCCGGCACTGCCTGGCCCTGCCTCGTCCACGCGAGGGCTGCTGGGCGAGTTCAAATGGAAACTCTTTGACAAGACGACAGAGTGGGAGGTGTATCAGAGGAACAAATTTTGTCTAGTGACGTCTAGTGTTCTGAATGCCGGAGGGCAAGCAGGTTTGTAAAGGATTCACCCGAGAGTCTGGCTGCTTGTGTTTTGACAGGCTTTGATCTGATAGCAGGTCAGCAGACTTTGAGAGTCTGCCAGCAGCGATAGGGAGGCACTCAGCTGTCACCCACATTCTCATGGCCATGCCTTTTTGCCAGATGAAGAAAGTGGAGCAGCGGGATAGTTTCTCTGCAGACATTGATCTTCTGACAAAACTATCTTCCCATGGTTGGAGACCCCTGGAGTCAATTAGTTGGCCCCTGTCTTCTTTATCCATAACCTGACAACCGTTTCACTCTTGACTCAATTCTCTTCATCAGAGAACATACAGGGCCTGTCCAGGTATTGGCCTGTGTGGGCTGCGCAGGTTCAAGTACACACCTGAAGAAGGCGTAACAGTACAGCCTTGCAGAACGCTGTACTGCATTGAATTGACCAGAAAATTTTGAGTCTATTTTTTAAAATATATACTGTAATAGTGAGGGGTTTGCATGGACTGCCTGAGCACAAGCAGAGAGCCTCTTTTCCTTAGCCAGGGAGCGAGCGGTGTGCTGGTGTGTCGTCGTATCGTAAGGCGGGTCTTCTCTGCTATATACAATGACGAGTCTTTCCACTAAAGGGAAAAATAATAGTTCAGCAGCCGTTTCGCTACAATGCTGGTTCAGAACTTGAAGCCCGTCCACGATCTCGTGGGGATCTTCTATAGCAGACCTGATGAGCTTCAGGTGCTGTAGCTGCGCATTCCCGCGCACCGTGGAGTAGGGAGTGCAGTGGGAGGTGTGCTCCACTGTCACAATACTGGGCAAAATATTTTTTTTTTGCTTACTCTGTGTACTGTATGCATTATTTTAGAAAAATAAAGTATAAGGATTTTGGATCTATTAAATATTTCTGTTGTCAGTTTGATTAATCAATGACTAAGTGAGATACACTTGAAAGATACTCTGACTGTTGCATAAGCTCTGAATCATTTCATTAGTGAGAGAGTTGATTGGGACAACTCTCAGTGGGATAATTTAACCTGTGCAATGTCAAGCCTGGTGAAAATCAAGAAACAGCAACACAAAAAGGAGGCATTGTGCCATCTTCAGCAAGAGGGCAATACCTTTGTGCTATTGGTATGTTGGAGCAAAACCTTGGATGGGTTCAACAGCAGTGTGACCAAGGTGAATGGTGAATCAAGGGTTTTTAAACTTTACTTTACTTGACAACAGCATATGTGACACAGACATGCAGAATAATAGGCTAACTGTGTAAAACATGGTAGTGATTGAGTAGATTCGAGAGTGATGATCTGGACTTGACTGTGCATCCTCATGCTGTTCACTTAACAGCGGCTTTCCTGTACAATAGAAAAAATGACACAATGGAGTAGATGTACTGTTTGCCTGACTTGAGCTCCATTGAACATTAGAGCAGTGAAATAACTTCAGGCATCTAGGACTGAGAGAACAGTAAGGCACGTGGTTATGAGGCAGGCGGTTGGTCAGACTGTGTGGGAGGAATGGGACAGAATCTCACAAGATAGCATCTGCAACCTGAGGCAACGCATGTGTCACAGATGTACAGCTTGTATTGCTTCCAGCTGTAGCCTTACATTCTACTAGTCTGTGTTTTTTCTATTTAATAAAATGTCAGTGCATCTACTTTGAAAAAGATTGATGCTTTGTTTGACATTCAGTATATTTACCATTCTATGCACACCATTGAACCTAGCAAAATGTCTCCAGAAATAGCATTAGTGTTTTGGAATTTGTTTAAAGCGAAAGAGAAAAAAAGCTTTCTTACTGTGCATTATATTAAGATGTCTGGTGTCTTCTTTGGGTGGTTGAGTGGGAGGCATAATGACATAGTGGTTTGTGTTGCTGCCTTGCAGCACTAGGGCCCTGGGTTCAGTTATTGGGTTTTCTCTGTGTGTTTCTGTGGGTTTCCTCTGGGTGATCTGGTTGCTTTCCACAGTCTTAAGACATACTGAAGGTTACCGCTGGGATAGGTGACTGCTGCCCCATGGTCCACTAGTGGATAATATGGTTTGAAGACGGATGGATCAGTAGATTACATTTCATTTTCTTCAATTCCTTTACTGGGTCATTGTACATAGTTTTGTACAATACGCATACAGTATAGTAGTGTAGTAGTGGAAATGTAAGGAAGGTTTATTAGATTGATAATTTCAGATTTTTAATTTTTAATTTTAACATACAAGTAATTCATTGCAGATCATTTAATTGTTTAAGATGTTACTCTATATTTTTCCTTTCCAGACCCTGTTATTTTGGTCCTGTGAGAAATATCCATGTACCAAGGACTGGAGAAACTTTAAACAGAGCGTGCTTCGTCTTGTGAAGAAGCTTCAGAAATGTGTGAGTCAGCGGTATCTGAGGCATTACTTCGTCCGGGGCTACAACCTGCTAAAATACACCAACACCAATGAGCTGGATATCATGAGCAAAAAGATCTCTGATTTTCTTGAGAACCCTGGACTCTACATGTACTGATATAATACTTTTTACAGTTTTCTTGAATAAGAAAATAGATGCAAATAAGAACCAGGCAAAATAAATTATTTTAATGGTCAAAAACATACTGTATTTTACTCTCATATTCAATTAGAATTAGTGCATATGTCACATGCACTGCAAGTTTGGGCTTATTAAAGAGGTGGCTTTTAAGCATAAGAGTGAATAATAGGTGAGCAGAAAGACTAAAAGCCAAGGCTTTATTTCATTAATATATATTGCTGAGTTTTATGTTTATCCTGAATTCATTATTCTGTTTAAAATGAAATGTCCCTAAATTACTGACACCCAGTTTAAACCTTTACATTACATTTGACATCTGCACATTAACACTGACATTTTATATTATGCAAATGTCATCATGGCAATTCTTCCATGACCAGTTTGTTGCATGAATGTTAATACAAACCTGTGTCAAAACTAAGCTCTATTCACAGCTTTATATCCTTCAAAATCTACTATAGCATTCAGTAACTATTATCTGTGACTTCCCATGCAGAAATAGCTGGGAGGAATGTTGTTTCAGAGTGATGATAACTTCAATACTGGCATTGATTCAGGTTTTATCATCATGGGGAGACAGTATTTAAGCTACACTGGATTTTAGGAAGAGCCAGAGATGAGAGAGATTTGTACAGAGAAAAGGGGATGAAACAGAGTCTCTGTATTTTTCCAACAGTCCTTTATAACTGGGACAAAAAGATCATAGGATTCAAAGAGATAAAATAGAATTGCTTTGCATTTTCCACAGAAGGTGATGCCATTCACATACCATTACTAGAATTAGAATTCCTGGCATTTCATCATGAATGTCTGAGCATTTGAAAGCTTCATCACACATAGTGATTTATTGGGCAAATTCAAAGGTGTCATTCAAGCAAAATGAAACACTGAAATAATTAAAATCTGAACCAGCAAAACCCTGATAATGGTACCATTACCACAATGTTTGGTCTTGTAAAAGCTGGAATCTGGTGCAAAACATATTATCAACACTGATGTTATGATCACCAGAATGTCTACTGTGCAGTTTTATATTACGGTTTATGAAGAGCTTAGAGTTGTATTAAGTAGCATAAAGAAATTAACAAAAATACAGCTGTGACTGTCATTAGTAAATGTTTGTGTGTGAAGTAATATAAACACAACTGGGACCCTTCTTTGTCATAAGAATAGAAAATGCTGCAAAGAGGTAAAGACTACAGTATTTACCCCAACTTCCTAATCTGAGGATGTAATTTACCCTTTTCTTCCTGAGTCAGCATTTATACACCTGGATCATTTCTTCAAGACACCCACAACCTCTTTATTTGAAGTAGTGCTTCCTAAGTCCTAAGTCCACTCTCTAGGACCCAAATACAGACTACTTACACACTTGGGATATGTTGGTCCTGGAGTAGTCCATTGGGTTGACTCTTCCAGGATCTTTCAGTAATACACAGTAAATTCTTGCCTCTAGCACCCTTCACAGTCTTCTTTGCACAAGAGTGAAGAGATTTGAATTCTTCAGTTTCTCGGCATATGAGCTGCAATGTTGTTGCAACAAAGTGACAAGAATCAACTACAATATTCTAAATGCAGTCTAGCTACTCAACTTCCTTCTTCCAGTTCTACAGTTTTCATGGTATACCCTAAGAAAGGTTACTTCTTTAATATCCTGTCTTATACTTTCAATGCATGTTCTCTCTACCTGCATAAACAAAAAGTATGCGTACATATACACCCTACTCAGTACTTCTTTCTATCCTGAACAAGGTGGAGCGTGATCTGAACAGTGAACTTTATTTGGGTAAATGATCTGGGTGAGGAGATTGACAGCCCGTCTTCCTCCCTCCTGAACCTGTAATGAAGGATGGGCTGGTGGAACTGGTGGAGGGAGGGATGCAAATACAAAATGTTCAAGTGACTCAGCAGGATGTCTGATATTTATACAGTATGTGGGTAGCTGAAAGGGTTCAAGATTGGAGAATGACCTCTTCTTGAACTTAAAAACTCCATTTACAGTATAGCCGCCACAGTAGGCAAAAGCTATAGATTGAAACCAACTATAAGAATAGTCAATGCCCATTTCAGGAAGATTATGTTTAAGTGAAATCATTTGACAATCATGAAGAAACCAAAAGAACTGATGTTTTGCTAAATCAAACAATTGCAAATCTGGAAAGTTTATTTTTTCCAAATAAAAAGGAGAAATGTGATTAATAATGTCATATTATTAATATTATTATTAGATCATTTATGTATTTACAACTTTTAGATACTCTTTGCTTTTACAAATTGTACAAGTTTGAATACAGTTTAATAAATCAAAATCAGCTATGTACAAGAAATCCTGCAATACGCTTTAAGACGACTTGTCTTAAAAGTTTTTGTTTTGCCATTGGAAATCACATTTGTTTTGGTTTTTAAGGAAGCAAACTTTATAAATATATATTTTTCCTAAATGTTTTATTTTCTGAAGATGTTTTGTAGGAAATACAAATGCTTTTGAAGTGACTAACGTTTACTGTTACTGTACATTACTGTACATTCACATAATTAATAACTATAAGACAAATGTTGGGCATAAGTACTTAAGCTTCTTTAGCTTTTTAATCACATCTGGTGCAATGTTACATCTGTAACAATGTTTGTTAGTCTATGCTTCTGGAAAAAAGTTTCATGTTTGATTTGTATTTAATTGCCTCCTGCTGTCTCCATTTTTTCTCTCTCTCTCTGTCACTGTATGCTGTATTACATGCTGAGTTTGGCTGCACAACATGGGTCTGAGTGTAGCTATGTAGCTATGTTATGTGTTCCAAATAAAGCCACATTCAATTGAACAATTGTATTTGAAAGCTGCAAAAGTGAAAATACATAAAATTAAAAGCACTGCTTAATAAAACTACACATGGATGCACTTTTCTTTTTCAAATGTAGCCTTCTCTAATAATCTCAGACACCTCTTGAACATATAAATCTGTTTACACTTTAAAATAATGGCTGAAAGTATATTTTAATTATTGATTTCAAAATGAAGTATAGCAGACATCAGAGAAAATATGTGAGGTATTCACATGCTGCTCCTAACCTATTCAATGGGAATTTGTTAGGAATTTTTACTCATAAATATGGCAAGTGTTGCCATAAATTAATCTTGTATATAGGGATAAGTAGCAGTACCGACTCAAAATTTCTTTCAACCACGCCATAATTAATTTCTTAATTTATCATAAACAGACCAATGTTTATTTTGAGAAGAAGAAAACTTTGCAATCATAGAGAACAGAGGAACCCCTATTTGTTCCATCCCACTTGTGTCTGTTAAATAATTTTGTCTTCCTGGAATGAACCAGCCCTCTCCAGAATCTAACTGCAACTCTGTTAGGTGACCTTATGAGCTATCATTCTGCCTAGGGTGGACATGTTTCTTAAAAAGAACTGTAACTCTCCTGACTTTATTTTTTGCCATTTAGAAAATAAAATCTTTACTACAAAAAATACATAACCCCAACCCTCATTCGAGAACCTGATCCTTTGTTTTTTTATTTCCTCTTGTGGCTTGAAGTCCAAATTGAATTAAAAACAACCCCATCTTTTTCCTATGCATACTTAGCTGTGACATGTAAACTAATTAGATTGTACATGAGGAAAATACATTTTTGGCCATAATTAGCACAGATTGTATGTGCAAACCTGAGAGCACAGAAAGACAAATATGGTTTGGTAGCAACTGTCTTTGAAGTTGGATTTTGGTTTCCGTGTTTTAGTTAATTTGATTGCCCACAACCTGGGCTGAGTAATAATGACATTATGACACGTATAGTTCTATTTGTTATTGGTTGTGCAACAGAACTGAATCAAATGGCTGTGCTACAGCATGTATTAAAAAGAGCACATGGCATTTAAGATTTCTTTTTAAACTGTGCCAACCAATTAATGTTAAATTGATTTTTGTGGTCCTTTGCTGTGTATTATTTAACTGGGCAATTAAAGTTAATAAATAATTGGAGTTAAATGTAATTTGTGGCACGACTCATTATGTTCAACCCTTAATTCTTTAAACTGTATAAACTTTATGTGGGATTTATGTGGTTACTGTACGTTTTTTAGTCATATTGGCAATACTGTATATAGCACTATATACAATATATACAATACTGTATATATTTTCACACCTGAAGAAGGCTCCACAGTCGAAACGTCGTGTTTCCTTTCTTTTTAGCATGGAATAAACCCGTTACCTGTTCCTTAGCAGCCCACGCATGCTGACGCAGCTCCCTACTTGAACTACTGTACACCGTGCAAGTTGTATTCCGTTGCTTATTCTCACAAAGTGTGTTTTTAATATGGACATAGTTGTAGGGAGGCACTGCCCTCGGCCATGCTCCTTCCCCTAACACTAATTCTCACGTCAGTTTTCTCACTTCAGCTTTCTCAGAAACCAATTAACCAATAGTACCAGTATGTCTTTGCCTTTTCTCCAGTAGGATACCGGAGCACCCAGAGGAAACCCACTCAAAGGCAGGGAGAACATACTGTACACTCACCGGTGTACCCAGGACATTAACCTGGGGCCCCAGTGTTTTGAGGTAGCAATGCTAACCACTGCGCCATTGTGTCTCTTTCTCTACAAAATGATGATTCACTTCACTGTTTATCATAAACAGGCCAATGTTTGTTGTGAGGTACCCTCACTGCAGCTAACAAGAACATTCTGCACTCCTGGGTCACAAAGGAGAGCTCATGGGCTCCATCATACTGGTGTCTGCTCAAAGGTGTTGTCTCCCTAATGACCCAGAGCCAAACTGGAATGGAGCCATCCCAGCCTAGAATCTCACTGTACTTACAATACATTAGATGACCTTCTGAGTAATGCCCTCTTTTAACAGCTTTTTTTGAATGTACGGTAGCTTTTTTTGTGGAAAACAAAAAATATCTAGACATGAGTTTCAATGCCAAACATTTGAAGTGACCAATGCCACATGAGAGGAATTTAGAATGTAAAATTGGACGGGTTCATTTGTCAATTCTGGAATACAAGGAAAACGATTGTAATTGCAGTAGAAGACACAAAGAAGCAATCTACAGTAGGTTATACAAACACTTAGT